AATTTAAAAATTTGTTTGTGTTTACTTGCCCTTGTGAATACCCGGAGTTCAGAGTTCCGGTGTGTTGTCTGTCCTATGGGAGGGAATTTCTGGCCAAGCTCGGGCCCCATCATAACTCAGTAAGGACTCGTGTGAGTCTTTTTTTGGGAAGGACTTTTAAAGAAATTGTTTTCAGCACGCCTGGTCCTCCTTAAAGGGCGCCAGACCTCAGTAAGCATTAACCTCTGGCACGGCTGGTCCTAGAGAGGTGTCATGACATTGTCTTTACCTTCCCTAATAAATGGTTTCATTTAATCAAAAGACCTTTATGGAGCGCACGCATCCTAGGATTTATGCATGTTTATCTAAGATGACGGGCTGGCAAACAGACTGCCAACCGCAAGGACGCCAGGATACTTCCATGACTGTTGATGATCCGAGGTTTTTGCGTTGGATAAACTTTTGGCCCTTTTTTTCTATTCTGGTTTTTGCGTCTGCGGTTGACATAAATCAGCATTAAAGCTGATGAAAAGTATTTTAGGCTCATCTGTATAATAGGATCTGGCCCGGAGTTTGTTTCTAATAGGTCTTGAAACTTTTATTCTTGTCCGTAATCCGGATCCTTTTTTGTAGCAATTTAATTTTAAACAAATTAAATGCTGAGTCATACAATAATTGCTAATCTATTGTATTTATTGCGGGCTATTTAAAAGTAATCCTTAAAGCTGATTTAGCCTTACTTCACTTTTTTGTAATTTAATTTTCCTCGAATCTCAAGCAAATTATGCCATGCATTCACTTACAAAATAAGGCTAATAACATCAGAAGGAAATAATCAAGAGCTTGAGCAACTTTCTATGGCATTTGGCCAATGTTTGCCCAACTATCTGTGGCCATTCCGGATTTGGCTTTGGGGTTTTCGGGTGTTGGGGACTCTTTGGGCTTTATGTTGTGTTTTGTGTATTCGAAAATTTTGTTTGCCATTTTAAGGCCGGACTGTAAATGAGATTTTTCTCACATTTGCTTCTGCCATTGGCCATCATTGGCTTCCTCGTCCTCTCTTGTTTGCCTTTCGCCTTTGGCTTTCAAATAGTAATTTTCAACTATGACAAGGGCGAGGAAAGATGGGAAATGGCTCAGCAACGAGGGACCAAGGGTCTTGAGTGTGTCCAGTGATTACAGGACCCCGAGTCTGTAAGTCTATAAGTAATAATCAAGTTTTTTGTGGAGGGCAGCGGAAAGGTTTCTTGTGACAGTTCATTGTGGATAGAGGGTTCTGCTGGAAGAAAAACAAACAGAAAACTTCAATTACAGGCCACTGAAATGGATGGCAAATTGAAAGCAGAAAATACAGGAGGAAGTTAAGGCTTCTCAATAAATGAAAACTTTCATTACAGGCTAAAGAAAATTAAAACAAGATACAGAGAGAAAATCTATTTTAGAAGTTCTAACACACCTTATAATATTAGTGATAGGTTTAAGTGTCAAAAGCTTTATCATTGCCCTATAATTGAATTATATCGTTATAGATAATAAAAATAATTGTTGATATTCTCTAGAAAGCTATAAACTTTTCTTTAAGTATGTAGAGTTGATTGGTTCTTAGTTAAATAAGTATTTCTCTTCAAAACCCCCCACTTAACCAGGCTTACAGGCCATAATCCTGGGCCATTGCATGCCAGAGAACTTGAAACAGGAAAAGGATTTCCAATCTGTTTCTGCCACACCCACAGTCCCCACCTAAGCCGGCCTCTTAGCCAGGCCAAAAGGCAAACCTTTGACCAGCATTTCTAAATGCTGAAACATTAACTGAGCCAAAGAACTTCATTATGGGACCGGACTAATAAATCTTTTGAGTCGTTCTACCTTTTGACTCCCGCAACCGACAATGAATCATAATGAGTGCTGGCCAAACACCAAACAACCGGGAAGACAAAGGCCTCGACCAAATCAACATTCATATACAATCTTACGCCCTGTTGTACACGCTTTCTCCTTCCTTGCCATTTCCCCTCTCTGTATAAGCCGTAAGGATGGATAGAAAACAAAAGTCGGGCCAAGAAAGCTAAGCTGTTGGCCAAGTCGTAACATTATGGCGTGTCGACAAAGTAAGCAATAAGGCGTAGCATAAATTAGCCAAATAAACAGAAATGAAACAAAGGGGCGAAATAACAACTTTAATGTTTGTTAAGCAAATATTATTCCCAGTTTTGTGTTTGTGTGTGGGGCATGATATTGGCCCAGAATCCCTCCGGCTATGCTGCACATGTTTTTGCTGTTATTGCAAAGCTTCTAAGGACAATGAAATGTCTTTATGTGACGATTATCTGAACATAACCCAGGCCCAATGTGCAATTAACCGTGGCATCCGGTTTCTGGTGCGGATGTCAGCCATTTGGAAATATGACAGGCAGGAATATGTGTGTAGAGGTATATTTTTGGGGCACAGATTTACGACCAAAAGAAGGGTAATTCCGAAAAGAATTTGGCAAAAGTCGTAAAAACTGCAGAGGTTTTAAAATTGTATGTAGACCAACAGAGGCCACAAAAAAGTCATTCATTTTTTTAGCTTTTCAAACAATTACAAATATTTTGCCACTAAAATGGAGTTACCAGTTACAACTCATTTAAAATAACCCCTTTTAAGCCAAACCAAAAGTATGTCACCCACAATATATAATATAATCCCTAAATCGAAAAGATATCACACAATCTCTCAATTATTCCTAATTTATGGCAATTTTATGAACAGCATATGGACAGGATGCAATAGATCTATAGACCAGTCGAAAGGCCAAATAAAAGCCACGTCTCTCGCCCACCGCCCACTCAAATGGTAATACGCTTAGAGAAAGGCCAACAACCGAGGCAGAGTCATTTCCATGAGAGGCTTATGGCCCCGGCACCCGCCAGCCTATAAAATAGGACAAAAATTGGTTGCACACCGAAAAAAAAATAAAGTAAATATGATGTGACGCTTATTGAATTGAATTTGTTGACTAGCGTTTTGTGAACCGATTTTTTTCCCACAAAAAAAAGTAACTTTACTTCTGTCACAGCTGCTGTCACACACTGCAATATGTATGTGGATGGTTGTGCTTCAGAGAGTGTTTTCGAGTGTGAGTTCCAGTGTGGGTGTGTGTGTGTAGTTATGCAACATTTTTCGTGCCTAGCCCGTGTGGTCGGGTGATTTTTGGGTGGGCTTGTGTAAGGACGTTGCGTGTGTCCCGAAATCAATCATACGCCAAAATCGACACAAACAAACAACAATGGCGATGAAAACAACAAAAAAAAGCAAAACAAAAATGAAAAACGTACCGAAACAAAGCCTGGCAAGTAATGCGATATTTATTATTGATTTTTATTGTCTATATCCCAGGGGAAGGGGCTTCTGCCTCCGGCTCTGATATGAAAAGGGCACTTGATGTTCGCAATATGCGTTGCCACTTGACTTTATGCCAATGCCTTTCAAATGCAAAATGCAAAAAGCCTTTTAAACGACCTCCCTGCCCACTTAGGTTCAATATTAAATGGGTTTCGGAAAGTCTTTTTTTCAGGGTCGAAAAACAAAAGAAAGCGGGACTTTTGAAATCAAACATAGAAATACTAATTTCCAAATAAGAGAAGAAACCACTTCCCTTCAAGTGTACTATATTCCGAAACAGCTTGCTCATATATTATATGTGTTTCTTGTATTGCCATTTGTCCAAAAATTTTCACTACATTTTTCTTAGTTCTTTTTTATTTCTTTGAGCATAAGTTTTGGCTTTGTATGAGCTTTCTTCTGGTTTCGCATTTGTTACTGATATTTTATGACACTGTAAACATTTTAGATTGCGAATCCAGTTCAGATGCTTGTAGTGTGTGTTTTATCCATTCAATATGCTCAGCAGAGCATTACATGTTTCTATGGCGCTGTGTCCTTGCAAGTCCTTGCCCCTGTTTCCTTACAGTCCCTCGGAATGTGTGAATATGACCGTGTTTACAGAAAGTGAAATGTGGGCTAAAGTGGAATATTTTTGCTGCCTTTTTTTGAGGGCAATTAAAATGGGTTTGTCGAGAGAGCGGTATGTCAGGAATCACCTACTGCTCGTTCAGACTACCATAATAAGTTAGGCCGTAACTAATTGAAAACATCTTAGAGATTTGTTTTGGCGTTGATTAAGTGAATTTTCGGACAAGCCATCAACTGAATATTTGTCAAAAAACTGACAATTCCGTGGCAGGGCGTGCGTGTTTTGTTCTCCATCATTAATTACCCAAGAATGGCCTGGGTTTCTCATGTTAAGCCTGTCAGTTGGCTGGACAAGTGAGTGGGGAGAGAAAATCACCCTTCCGTCAGTCCGATAAACACGAAAAACATTTTCTCGAACTGTTGAAAAAACTTTGCGAGATGGAGTACCAGCAACTTAAGTGCTATTGTACGGCTATTGAGAGAACAGAACGGGGAAAAAATGCATAAAAATCAATAGTCTGATGATTGAGATGATGGCTTTAAAATGCTTCAACTATATGGTATTTGCCCTGGAGAAAAATGGATAGCTTGTGGGAATCTTGAAGGTCTTGCTTTCATTCACAGAGAATTTCAACTTTAGGCTAGATGGATGATGGTTGAAAATTCCAATAAAATTCCTTTAAAAAGTTAATTGAAGATAATAAAAACAAAAAAGAGCTTACACAAAAACTGTCATTTTTAAACACTTACTTTAAGAGCTTATTCGTTTTTTCCAATCGTAGATCTAACAGTTTTTTTTGGGAGAAAAATACACAAAGTCCCTTGCATGCAATCATGAGATATTTACACAGCCGCAGCCATTCAAGTCGAACAAATTGGTTTGAAAAAATTACAAAAATCAAATAATATAAATGCTCAATATTGGCTGGCGTATGGAAAATGTTTAACGATTGATTGAATTTGAAAAAAAACCAAAAAAAATAGCTTAAGCCCGCATGGCGAACCACTCTTGACCAATTTATGCGAATGACTTTTAAAGCTTGCAATTTATCTGATATTTTTTCAGGCTCGTCAGCGAAGGACTATTTTTTAATGGACGTCACCGCAAGAACAAGAAAAAGACCAATAATAATAATAGCCGGCAGGAAGGGCGAAGAACCAGCGTCATCATGATCATGATCATGACCAACGTCCTGTCAACGTGAAATGAAAACGAAATTCAAAAAGTTGTCGTGCCATTTCTGAGCGAAGACCTGCCCACAGAGACGCCACCAAAAAAAAAAACGCAAAAAAGGAACAAGGAACCCGAACAACAAAAATCGTATAAATATAGGAACAGAGAAAATGAAGTCTGTCATTCTATATCCATACGGACCGCTAACGGGCGGCACAAGTTGTTGCCGCATGTTGCATGCCAAAAATTTGGCCATAACAAGTGCAATTTACACAATTGTAAGTGTTTGCGGATGGGGCTCGAACAACGGGGCGTATACGCAATGTGAACGAGTATGCAATTTTGTTCTCGTTAGTGGAAAAATGCTGGCCCTCATGCAAAATCAGTAGTTGCGGCTTGTATTATATTCCCCAGTTAATTGTGGCATAATTAAAAGACAAGAGTCCTTGCTGGAAAGTTCTCCTGCGGCATACCTCACCCTTATTTATTTGAAATGAAAGTATTTTTCTGACAGAGAGGGATGGCTTAAAAATTAATTTATGCAGAAAAATAAAATTCATAACTTGAAGTATGTCAGAGAGAGAGTTACATGCATTTTATTTTCATAGAAACATTTATAAGGCATAAACTTATGGGTTGTTCAAAGTTTAAGTATCATGAAACTAAATTATATTTTTATTTACCCTTGCCGAGGGTGTTCTAATTTTGTTCAAAATTTTGCAACGCAGGAATGAAGATTTTTTAATTTAATTTTCTCTTTTGTTTTTGCTGTAATTGTAGTTTTTTTTGTTGGAATATTTTGTTTTTATAATATTTTTGTTTTAATTTCTGTTGTATTTTTTTTAACTGTCTCTGACTATGTTTTTAAATGGGATGATTAACCACATATGTTAATTTTTTAATCGTAAATGTCATAGCTTTGGTGGTTTGTTAGATGGAGCTTGAGAGTTTTTTAGAATAAAACTTCGATGCCCAACTATCGCCGATAAATGAGATATGATAATGAGATATCTTATCCCATATTATCTTATAATATAGACTGCCCTTTAAAGCAAAACTAAAAGGAAAGATTCGTTAAAAAAATAACTCATAAATATTATTTAAAATGTAGTTACTTAATCCCTTCCTTCCTCAGTTATTCCCCAAACAAAACCCCAATTGTTCCTTAGAAATGCAGAGACAAAACGAGGGCAACCGCCACCTCTCGCCTTGACGCCTTCATCTCTCGTCTCGTGGCTTGTATAAATTACAATTACATGATGCTCGTTATGGCTTTTAATTTACGTTAATGGCCAAATCGTGCTCCTGGTAACTTTTTTTCTCTTTTTTTTGAGCACTCCGTACCACTACTCATAAGGACAATGCAGATCTGGGGACAATTACACGAAACACAATGCAATGCAACTCGGTGGGTTGGCAGACAATGGACATATTATGTATATCCATTGCAATGCCAGTTGCCCACTTATGGAAGTAAATTAGTTTTTGCTTAAGGAGAGGGCTTAAGTGTTTGGCTTCTGCAATTAGTGCTACATTTTGTGGCAGTTACGAGCACAACCTCGGACGGAATACGAAAGATTTCCCCGACTTCCCCCAGTGGGCCACCCCCACCACGTACCTCACTATGCCAAGTAAATGTTACGTGTTTAGCATAAGCCGAAGCTAGGGACTTACGGGGTTTATGGGGGGCTCCAACTGGGAGTGCAGTCACGACACATAATGGATGTATCTTAAAAGCACGCCATTTTGCATTTATTTATCACTGTTGCTTATTTTCTGAACCTGGGAACCTTTGGGCCACGGGGATTTGCTGTTCTGGAAATTGGTTTCTCATTAATTCCTTGTTCCATTAGCCAAGGAACTTTAATGAAAATAGATTAAAGTTTCTTATTTTTAAACTAGTCTGTCATACTAATGTTTAAGGTCAGACTTCTTATCTGTTTAAAATTGTTTTTTTTTTAAATATCTTTTATATTTTCTGTTTTACCTCGACTTTAATGTAAATGCCAAACCAATTTCCAAAACTTGTTTCTCCTTTTTAAAGGATACAACAGACATGAAAACATTTTCACGGATTAATTAGCAACCCGAACACCTCAGACCCTAAAATCCAATTGAGTTCCGACCCGTTTAAAAGTAAAAGCGTGTTTTGAAAAACCCGGGGACAGAGATTGGCGAAAGGGATGGAACGAAAAAGTAACATAAGGGTTGGGTTGTTGATGACCCATCAAAAAAATATATATATTTTGTATGCGGGTGCACATTGCGTATACGTGTTTTTGAGGTAAATACTTAAATTGATGTATTTTCTGTATACTTCTTGTAGAATATATCACTTTTAATTGTGCTGATATACTCGTGGCGCATCAATGTCAACATGCACAAGTCGAGTGACCTGCAGGATGTCTACTACGGTAAGTCCCTGGCAATTAAACACATTTTCACACACGAGACAAAACCCAAAGCGGCAATAAACCCGAAAACTGAAACGACAAGCAGCCAGCCACATAATAAATAAAGCCATTTTAATAAATAAATTAAATGTAGATGAGGCTGCTGGATGGCACGCCCAAAGGAGTCGGCTCTATATACAAATATGAATTATGAGTGCTGCGAAAGCTTAACACTTAATTTTTGATAAATGAGATCAAAATTTGATTCCGTAATAAATTGATGACGGCTACTTGCTTAAAAAGTCACTGACTTTTGCCTTAAATCTTTAACATTTATCCAAGTTCTGATATTAAATTTCGGTTTATTCATTACAGGTGTGCAAATAGCATATTTTGCCATTATTGGCACACAAATGTCCATGATATTGCTCAGCATTGTGCTAATATTTGGAATATGTCGGGTGAGTATTCTTGTTTGATTAAGAGCTTTATGAAATTCCACATTATTAAGCGCATTGTTGGCTTATAGAACTTAAAGTCAAACATCCGTAAATTTAGCCAATTGTGCCGAAATGGAAATGTTTGCAAACAAAGCAAATTCAAATGTAAATTATGTGAAGCATTCATGCCTTGTGATTGCCTTTTCAAAGTACAAAGTGTACACATTTCGGTAGAATAATTTTAAAGTCTTAAGGACAAATATTTCTAATTTAAATTTTTTGTGCATGACGAAATATATGGTTCTGAAATTGGAAACCGCCAAACCAATAACCAAAAACCCCCAGAAAATTCCCATTGACAGCGGCATGAAAATGGTAACAATTTGTCACACCATTGGAAGCCAAAAAACTGGGTTGATGTCTGACTGAGTAAACTGAAACTGAACTGTGAGCTGGCACGACACATTCTGGGTCAGTTTTTTTTTTTTGGCTGAGCAATTGCCAGCTATATTTTGCGGAATTTTTTAATTTCGGCACAGAGATCCATGCAGAAGGTCAATTTTCTTCCGCGATAGGACTTCCATTCCCCATACAAAGTGTAAATGAAAATGTTTCCCAGTTCGTTTATTGGTCAAATTAATTGCAGCTCGTTAATAGGCGTTTTATCCTTCGTTCTTGGAGCTGAGAGCCAGCCAGCTGATGTCCATTAAATAATACATAAAGCATTGGTTCTTAATTAGGCAAAACAACTAATTGCAAAACAAATGTTTCAAGGTCTACAAGCAAAGTTGTGGCAAGTGTTTCGTCCAAACAAATACTATTAATATTGTAGCCCTTGTAGAGCTCTGGAAGGGTGTGTTTGGAAAGATATTTCTCAAAAAAGAATGTGGAAAATAATCCACACATCCACCCATTTGATATACGTATTTCCCGCCATAAAATGTTCATTAACAGATTACATAAAATTTCATAAATTAGTCCATATTAAAATGTAATCCTCCGGGCATCGGATAGATGTATAACATTTTCATGGCTGCCACAAAAATTTCTATGCAAAACGTTGTGGCCAAAAACTGTCAGCTGCACATCAGGAATACATATTCCCAGCGTGCTCAGCCAGAAATTTGTTGGCACATGAATGGTGTAAAAATGGTGCAAAAAAAATTCCAATCAGAGGGCTTACCACCCATGACCAGATAAATTACCCCACACTCACACCTCGCTTTTGTTTCTCCTTGTCCAACAAAAGTGAAATCCCCACCATATTTTATAGTATAGTCATGAAATCAATAGCTATACAGGTACTCGGAGCACTTTTCGCTTTATTTTCCAATCGCAATATATTCAAGGTGGCTTTTATTTTTCGCATTTCTATAGGAGAACCCCGGATTAATTGTACCCTGGATAATTGGCTATATAACATTTATGGCCCTGGAAGCTGTCGCCATGGTCTACTCCAATGTGCTGCGCGATCATGTAAATAAGGTAAGCTGGTTTCCCATCTCAGGGAGTAGATGCAATCCCCCAGGAGCAGATGGGGAGTATTTTACGTTTAAGATGTTTTTATTTTGATTTGATGTGTTTTCATTTATTGAAAAGCAAGCTCATAGAACCCATACACAAAGGACTCAGCCCCCCATGGAGAAGCCCTTGAATATCCTGGCATAAATCAATGGGCATCCACGGCGACAAACAAATAATTTACAAAAAGCCTTCAAATGCCAACAAATCAAACCGAATCCGTTACATATGTAAAAAGTTGTGATGTCCTCCTTCCATTTTTATGCTAAAATCGAACAAAAGCAGCTCTGTAGCTGTGGGCCTTGGTCGGAAGTTGGCGACAGTTGAGTGCAATGTTGGCTAAATCAAGAACAATGGAAGAGAGTTGGTAACACAGAAAACAAAGGACCCAGTGCAACAGGCAGGCGGTTGGGAATTAAAAAGGGACAAGGGGAAATCCGATCTGGAGATAGAATTGAATAGACAGGGAACAGATGGTTCAATGGGGATGTATTGGAAAGGAATTTTTTGTATCACTTAAAAGTTTTTTTTTATTAAAATATTAAAACAATAAACTAACGGTCAGGCTCTAGTTAACACTAAAATGTAGACCCAAAATCCATTTCTTACACCATTAAAAATAAACCGACAAAAAGAAACCCCTTTCCTGTTCCTGAAACCTTTGTTTGATTTGTCAACTTCGTTTTTTAAAGTAACTCCGCCACAACCAAAGCGTCCTCTTGTAACAAATGAAAGGCCACAGGGACACGAGGCTAGAAAAAAAGGATATGTGCGGAAAACTGTAGGAGTAAGCAAGCCCAGAAACATATACATTCGGGGCAAATAGACAGACAAGAGCCCACTACACACACGCACTTAAAACAAACGTCAAAGTCAAAGCGGCACAAAGGCCGGAAAATCGAGGGGAAAAACGGAGGGCGGTAGATGGAAAAACAAGCAACGGCCTAGGGTCTGGATAGCGAGGGGGGGTTACCGGGTGAAACTCAAAGACCAGCGGCACCCAAACATCCATGAGGATCTAGTCTGCACATATGCAATGAGTTGGGCATTTTTCTGCACCATTTTCCTTTAGAATTTTACATTTGTCTATGTCGGCATGGCACGGCATTTGTTTTTGTTGTTTTGGTTTCCTTTTTGTTTTTCCTATTTTTTCTATTACGAACGTGTTCTGCTTTTCCTACACTTTTTTGTTTGTTTTTCCCCACCAGCCGGGGGACATGGAAATTTCAGTGTTTTTTTTCTGCTGGAAAATTGTCACCTCATGCATAATTTATTGCAATTCCAAAGGTAAAAATTCATTTTTCTCTTTTTTTTTTTGGCTCACAAAGTTTTGCGTTGCTGCCGTTTTTTATTTTATTTTGTTTCAGGCTAGAAGGTAACTAATTTGTTGGGAATTTTGTGTGGAATTTCCAAATCATTTGAACTGTCAGTTTTGAAGTTTGAAATATTTGTTTTTGTATTTTACCACCAACCATTAGGTTTTAAACATCTCTAACCCCTCTCTAATCATTTCAGCAATTCGATGCCATGTGCAAAGCGGAGGTGGCGTTTTTTATCGCCCGAGCTTTCATCAATGTAAGTAAAAATCAAATTTTTTAGAAACATCAAAAAGAACCACAAAATTTTATTTCCTTTGATTTATAATGAAAAAGGCATATTCGATAATCGTCTCCATCATTCGGATTGAAAGCATCAAGTCTTCTACTTGATGCACTTTGAGGGCGTTTTTAAAAGCGTCCATGCCATTCTTGATGAAAACGATACATGTTATTATCACAAAAAGATAAATCAAGTAAGGAATGCCTATCTTCCGGCCGATTCTTCCTTTGTAAATGTTTGCGATCATTGACATCAAGTTGAGGGCAAGGAAAAACGTATACAGACAGAGCCAGGGGATCATGTGAGATGGTGAAACCTTTAAGACGACACAGCTATCATTACACCATCAGCTTTTTGTAAGCCCGTATCATACTTACGAATAACACACCATAAAACAATGACGCCCAAGAGCAAATGTGAATAAATCCATGCAAGAAATTGTAGTATCGTCGTGAAGCTTTTGAAAAGCTACGAAGCAATTGGTTATTTTTTAATAACACAGAATCTGGATCGATCAAAAATTGTGTAAAGCAAAAAATACCAGCGACCTGTAATTATTAAAATAACAAAAGCGTATACTTTATAATCGTATATCAATACTTACTAAACCATACCAACTGAACACGAACATAATCCAATGATAATGGCGATATGATATCATTTTGCCATTAAGAAAATTCATCACGGAACGCGTGTAGGCACGATTGGCAAAGCCAAACATATCGTATTCGTTCCGGCACATCTTTATATCTTTATTAAAGTAGTCGCAGAAACCACAGATTGTCTGATCTATTGATTTCAATCTGTACATTATGATCGTAGTCGGGCTTTAGACTGAATTGAAAAAAAAAAAAAATTTTTAAACACACGAATTTAACTGTAATGCTTTTAGATCCGCTTTCGACAAACCAAGCTATATAAGTGAAGTTCCACATCAGCTTTCAGCCCGAGCTTCATTCACACAAAATCAAGGCTAACTAGATTTTTACTTTATCGATACTTGTAATAAATAATTAAATTACCAGCCGAGTCCATTAGGATTCCCTTTTGGCAGCATAAAAATGTTCAGGCCGTGTATTGATAGCGAAAGTGGGGCTGTGTGCGGGATTCTATCTAATGGATATTTATGATACCCAATTTTCTCCTGTTTTTTTTTGTCTATTCGAACAGGTGCTGGCCATGTGGGGAGTTCTGCGCTTCTACAATTTGGTTCGCTCTGGAATTACCTGGCGGGGTCCGGAGGTAAGTCAATTAATCATCCCATAATGGACGCAGGGGGAGTGCTAAAAGGAAGCTTGATTTATTTAGTGCAAGTCGAGGTAGAGTTTTCTAAATAAAAATACCATTATAAGCCAGTTTCTAAATAGGTAAATTTTGGTTTAAGCTAAGCAGGGGACTCTTTTTAAATTTATAAATTTTTCAAGATTTTTAAAAGGGACTAAGGGGTATGGATACATAAAACTTATATTAATTCTTTAATAAAATCAACTTTTATTCTTATTCCCATTTAGGCAAAAACCGCCATTTTCGCGCCAATGTACAAAAGCGTTAACACCAACAAGCCGCACACATACACTTACAGCAAAAGGTCACGGCGCCGCCATAGCATCGAGGCCACTTCCGGCGGATGCTGCGCTATCTTCGATTTCGATTTCGAGTACGATGACGATAACTATGACGACGACGATGACGATGAGGCGGCTGCCTTTGGCGACGGCCTGGATACGGAGGACGAAGTGGGTTACGATTATGATGATTACTACGATTACTACGACGACGAGGAAATGGCAGAGCAACAGGAAAAGGAGCTGCACAAGGACGATGCCGATTGCAGTATGCTGGGCGCCACCAAAACGAGACGAACACGATCTGCAGTGGTGAAGGTCAAGGGTCATCGGCGCACCAATAACAATATTCGCAGCGTGCTGATCAACAAGCGGCACAACAAATACAAAATAGCCCGACCCCAGACCCAGCTGGAGGTCATCAACGAGTCGGAGCGGAGTGCGGGGAGCGGCAGCGATGAGAACGACTCTCTATTGGTGGCCTATGACAGCAGCTCGTCCCTGGCGTCGGTTTGACATTGGCCGCCGCCATGTAAGTCCGGAAGCGGAAATGGAAATGCAGCCATTGGGTCATTGCGAGGTGACACCAATCAATCGAAGCCAAGCGGAAAATCCCGAACAAGTGCTTACAGCAAAAGCGGATCCGGAACCGGAAGCGACGACAGCGACGATCCTGACGAGGGCCAGCATCTGGAGCCTGGCTGGGCGAAGGACCTCGCCCTCGGTGGTCAATGTTGTGGTCAGCGTCAACGCCGACGTCCACTGCGACGCGTCTACTGCGCTGTGAATCTGTCCATAATGGGCCTCCTGGTGGCCGTGGAGATCTACGCCCAGGTGGCCATATTTTTGTAGATCATAAATCAAAAAGTACTTTATATATAAAACAAATACTATGATTTATTTTTGAGGGTTAAAGTTACCTTATTTTATATTTAATTTATTGATATTTCTGATATTTTTTTCTCTACGAAAATCACTAAATAAAATAAATACTAATGTTTTAGATAGCTTGGTATTTAAAATCTGAAATAAATAGTTTAAAATATGTGTACAAATGATTATAATCAAAAACATAATAATCATATTAGTCATACCATTTTTCAGTCTTGAAGGTTTTTTGAAGAGTCTTTTATTTAAAAACTTTATTTGATGAGTTTATATATTTCTTAGGTTTTTCCATCTACTTGAAAACTATAAATCTTTTTAAAAATTTGTTATAGTTAATCGCAATAAGGATTGCTTTACTTTTTTACAAATAAATCTCTGCAGAAACATATTTTTATGTTTAACATAATAAAACATTTTAGTTTATAGCTAGCTTTAAATAAAAACTTAAGCCCAAAGAAAAAAAAAACAAAAATTTCTTTAATAATTAGAACAATAATAGAAGTAAAACATAACATTTAAAGTAAATGCTTTTCCCAACAGAAGCTCTAAGAGAGAAACCCTCGCAGCCAAAATAAAAATCTGTGCAAAGCTTAAGATACATTCTTTGCAATTCCCAGATAAAAGCTTTAAAGTTACTCAATGGAATCATATGTCTAACCTTAGAAGAATTAAAAACAAGTCCCGGAGAAATGTAACAGCAACAATAAACGCAAAATTCCATTAAAGTTAACCAAAAAACGTTTAAAATGTTTAGAGAGTGCTTAGGAAAATACTTTGTAAATACCTGCAACTATTTCCAATCGATATCGATGACGTGAATATAAAAAGTAAGAAAGAAACAATATAATAATCATATCTATTAATGTTGTACATACAAACCATACCTATAGGAAGTAATCTTAAGTACAGTTGCGCCAAAAACAAAACACAAACTAGACAGCCAGTTCGAAACTAACCAATAAATGTGAGTTGATGTATACCTTAACGTAAACCCAATAATAATAAATAAACAATTGATTTTTGTGAAGAAAAAAATGGTATTTATTATTAAATGATAACCAAACGTGATGGGCACGTGTAAGAGGAAGAAAATCTATCCAGAGTTATTAATTTGGCCGTTTGGCAATCAAACGGGAAACTGTCTAATCACGACGGCCAAAACTAATTAAATGATAATGAAAGTGATGGAAACGGAACAGCCCAATCCGGGGGACACGTGACGCAATCAAAGCATCAACAAGTGGCAATATCTCTGCCCAGAACAAGGTTGCAATCGGTGGAATCTAATCAGCCATCGCCGCTGGGTTTTTGGGTTTAAAAGCACTGCCCCCCGAATGGCGACCAATCAGTTGCGAAACATGAAGGTTCTAGTGTTGATCGCCTTAAGTGGCCTGCTCTTGGCCCCTGGCCAGGCCAGGATCGTGCCTCAGGAGGAGGACAGTCTCTGGGAGGTACCAGAAGTGCCCGTTGAGATTCACGCAATCGAATCCAGAGAAGGTGAGTAATTGGGTAATTAATTAAATACCTAATAAATAAAACTCCTTCGCATATCCAGCTGGATGTTCTATCAAGATCCGCAGTTCGGAGCTGAAAGATCCCCAGCCCCTGCTGATCAAGCCGGGAACCTCGGACTTTGCCGAGTTCTCCGACACTGGTTACGTGGACGTGGCCAAGGACAAGACCATTGAGTTCCATTGCACCAGCAGCCTCGCCTCGCCCCTATCCGGAAAATCCGCCACTGCCAAGTGTGTGGGAGGCACCACCTTCAAGATTGGTGATAAGGAACACGACCTGTCGGCTATCAAGTGCTCATCCTGGCCAGCGTTTGTGGGCAAGAAATCCGGATCCAGTTGCAATGGCGGCACTACCCTCATTCATGTGGGTTTTGAGCTGGATGGCTCCCGATTTGCCAAACAGTACGAAGTTTGCTTCAACGAGGACGAGGAAGTGACCCGGTATGTGCACCACTGGCTGGAGCCAGGAAACAACTACTATGCCACCGGAGTAGATCGCATTACCTTCGGAGCTGGCGGTTACTTTGCCGGCAAGAATGTAGACAAGCTCTACACCCAGGCTGTGCAAAAGGAGACCATCGACAAGGAACTGGACATGGACTCGGCTCGCTACTTTGACTCCGCCAAGAACGTTTTCCTGGCCCGTGGACACATGGGTGCCAAGGCTGATTTCGTATTTGCTCCGGAGCAGAGAGCCACCTTCCTGTTCATCAACGCTGCTCCCCAGTGGCAGACCTTCAACGCCGGAAACTGGGCCCGTGTCGAGGACGGAGTCCGCGCCTGGGTGGCCAAGGAGAAGAAGCATGTCGAGTGCTGGACCGGAGTCTGGGGTGTCACCACCCTGGCTGACAAGAAGGGCGAGCAGAAGCCGCTGTATCTGTCCCATGATCACAATGGAAATGGACTGATTCCGGTGCCGAAACTCTACTTCCGCGTGGTCATCGAACCCTCCACCAAGAAGGGAATCGTCCTGATCGGCGTCAACAACCCACATCTGAGTCTTGATGAGATCAAGCGGGACTACATCCTGTGCACGGATGTCAGCGAAAGGATCAACTGGATCAGCTGGAAGAAGACGGACATCACCGCCGGCTACTCCTATGCCTGCGAGGTTTCCGAGTTCCGCAAGAAGGTGGATCACCTGCCCCAGTTCTCCGTTAGTGGTCTCCTGGTTTAAGTTCCTTCAATACCTGATAAATAAAACGTTTTTGATCAACAAGTACTTACTTAACTGTCATGGATTTGATACATTTTCTAAACTTTGCGCTCCTTTTTGTATTTTTATTGCCAATCTGCCATGGCTCATCCTCGCGGGCACGTCGTCGTAATAAACGACTCTCCCATAGCGTTTTCAACGAGAAATCCCTTTACCTGGCCAGAGTTATGGTTTCCATCAGAACAAGGACTGCCCGGACATACTACGGGGATAACCATTTCTGCGGTGGCGCCATTATAGCCCCAAATTTCGTTCTGACCTCAGCTCACTGTATTGTAACGTGAGATAAGTCCTTTTCACCCTGAACCATTAAAAAAGAATATTTATTAATTCCTTAGGAAACGTCGACTCTTCCTGCCCACTAGAATGCTGCTAGTTGTGGCCGGAACACCGAACAGGCTTAAATATATCGAAAGAAGATCCTTTCATACCCCGGTGGTTCAAATAATAGCGCCAGATAACTTCACAATCTTCAACACCAATGACATTGTATTGCTGCAGACAAAATTGCTGTTTCCCAGAGACAATTTTTATATTGAAATTATTGATTTGCCCTCACAACCTGCTAAAGTAGGATTCTACTACGATCTAGGTGGGTGGGGACGCTTATATCGGGTAAGTTCTACAACATTTTTGTCAATAATTTCTTTTCTTACAACTAATTTTCAGGGCGGCCCCCTTAGCTCAAACATTGGTCACATTAGTGTGCCAGTGATACCCCCTGAACTGTGTCAGGAGTTGCTCCATGTCACCAAAAGGGATATGCTCTGCACCTTTGATCACAAAGCGGACTCCGCCAAGTCGGCCTGCATTGGAGATCTCGGGAATCCGCTGGTGCTGAACCGTACGATATATGGCGTCGTGAGCAGCACTTTGGGATGCAGCAGCCCCCACCTGCCTTCCATTTTCACGGATGTTTATAAGAACGTGGATTGGATCATGCGTAATATGTTACATGGTAGTCGAAACGGGGCGGATACCTATATATCTGAATCTAAAACCCTACTCTTGCTACAAATTTTCACTCATTATTTCTGTAAATTGTATAGTAACTTTCAATAAATAAAATTAGGGAGGATCTGTGTGTCTTGAGACTTAACTGTCAGTAGTTTATAAACATTTTAAATGGCTTTGTTATTAAACAAGTTTTTATTGCATAAATTGTGTAGTTTCCTTTTGTTTTTCTTACTCTTCAAACTGATCTCCACTAAGTCAGTGAAAAGAGTTAAAAGATTGTCTAGTCCTTTTTACGATGAAGAGAAGATCGAAGGACTCTCGAAATATGTTGTTTCCATTCGATCGCGAACTCCCAGTAAGTTTTTCGGGGACAATCACTTCTGTGCCGGGGTCATCATATCAAAGGAGTTCATCTTGACCTCAGCCCACTGCACAATGGAGTAGGTATTGTACCAGAAAAAACCGAATCCTTACATTAAATATAAAACTATTTCTCTGAAACTCAAAAGTAAACGCAAGATAATTTATCGAAGTCGAGTGCTGTCGGTCATAGCTGGAACTGAAAATAGGCTGAAATACCGCCCGAATACCTCTATCAATCTGCCGGTAAAAAGGGTCTTTGTGCCGGAAAATTTCACCCTACAGAATACAAACAATATAGCTCTGATGAAGCTGGGCGAGCCACTGCCGACAGATAATCCATATGTTGGAATCATTAATCTGCCAACCACTGAGCCACAACGGGGTCTTAATTACACGGTTATGGGCTGGGGCCGAATGTATAAGGTATTTATTCATATTCTGTAAGATATAGCATATTCTACATTTTTTATAGGGTGGCCCCATGTCGGCCAAGCTTCTGTACATTGACGTGGAGCTGCTTCCCCGGGAAGAATGCGAAAGGCTGTTAAACGTTTTCAAGGAGGAGATGATGTGTGCCGGAAACCTTCACAACAATCTCGATGAAAATCCCTGTGCTGGTGACACTGGAGGGCCACTAATTTTAAACGAGACTGTATACGGAATAGTGAGCTATCGCATTGGTTGTGGATCCAAGGACCTGCCCTCCGTCTACACAGACGTCCATGCCCATGCAAAATGGATCCAAGACACGATGCTCCAAAATGGATGTAGGAGCTTGAAAAGTTTCCTTTACCTTGTTTTGGCCTCAACATATTGTTCAGTTATGAGAAATAGATCTATGAACAGTTTCGCAGGTTTTTATTTCATTAAAAATTATCTTTTTTAGACCAAGAGGCCACCCTTGGCGGTCAGAGCGGGCAAGTTCTTGACGGTCTTGAGGAAGTCGGACACTTCACAGGCGTAAGAGTAGCCGGTCTTGATGTCCGTCTTCTTCCAGTTGATGTAAGTCACCTGGTCGCTGACATCCGAGCAGATGACGTAGTCCCGCTTGATCTGCTCCTCGGTGAGATGGGGATTGTTGACACCAACGAACACGATGCCCTTGTGGGTTGAGGGCTCGATGACCACGCGGAAGTAGAGCTTGGGCACAGGGATGAGACCGTTGTTGTTGCCATCCTTGGCCAGGTACAAGGGAGTCTCTACGCCCTGCTTGTTGGGCAAAGTGGTCACTCCGTAGACTCCAGTGTAGCAGTTCACGTTCATCTTGTTCTTGGAGACCCAGGCCCTAAGACCATCCTCCACACGAGCCCAGTTTCCGGCGTTAAAGGTTTGCCACTGGGGAGCGGCATTGATGAACAGGAAGGTGGCCCTCTGCTCGGGGGCGTAATCAAAGTCAGCCTTGGCGCCCAGGTGACCTCGGGCCAGGTAGACATTGCTGGCCGAATCGAAGTACTTCTCGGCATCACCGCCCAGATCATTGTTGATGGTCTCCAGTTGGGTGGCCTGAGTGTACAGCTTATCCACGTTCTTGCCATCAAAGTATCCAGCGGTCTGGAAAGTGATCCTGGCCACTCCCGTCTCGTAGTAGTTGCTGCCTGGCACCAACTGGTGGCGCGTATAGCGGGTCACCTCCTCCTCCTCGTTGAAACAGATCTGCATTTGCTCGGCGAATCGCGACGAGGTGATCTCGAAACCAACACGAATCACAACACCACCGTTGCAAGTGGCTCCCGATTTCACAGCCTTGAAACCCGGCCAGGACTTGCAGTAGAGATCCTTGAATTCGTAGTTCGAGCCATCCACCTTGAAGGTGGTGCCGCTCACACAGCTGGCCGTGAGCAGATTCTGGGAATGGGTGTTAAATCCGGAGGGACACCACAACTGGAAAGAGCCACCCGATTCGAATTCCATGACACCCACATCGGAGAAGGGATAGAACTCCTCGGAGTCGGTCTTCAGGTAAACGGGCTGGGGGCTGGGAAGGCCACCGCGAATAGCTACGCTGCAGGCTAAATAAATAAAATAAAAATGTTTTAATGATAATGAAAGTATTGGCTTTTTAAAAACATAGTCCACATTATCTAAGAGTTCAAAGACCTCTTCCCTCAATCAAAATCCAAATCAATTACCTCCAGCACGACCCACCGGATGGGGGGGTCCCGCAATAACCCCGTCAAACACATCGACTACGGGGGGAACTTCCACATCCACATAGGGAGGCACTCGGCCCCAAACAGCCGGAGCTGCCAGGAGTCCAACAAGGAGCAATGAGAACTGGACGCACTTCATTTCACTTTTAACAGCTTCGAGGTGGCGGTGTCATCTTTAAATAGTCCCCCACCATATCTCGGCCAATTAATGAAAAATAGTTAATAAAATCGGAATCTCGCCATTCAGGCCTTTATCTCTGCTGGAACAATAAAATATTGGCAATATCTATTAACGTGAAGTGCTGCCGAAGTGCGCGCATTTCGGTTTCTGTCATACGTAGACTTAATTGCTTGAAAGCACTTTGTTTCGAGATTATTTTCGTGGACAAGTGGCTAGAGGAAATACCCAGGTAGCTCAGATAACTTTGACTAACGAAAATAGAATGTGTTTCCCATAGTTTATCCGATCGTGTATCTTTGGCTCACGTTTCACTGCACTGTATTATCTTACATTTTTGTACAAAAAGATTAATAGAGTTATTTTGGGAGTAATTATTTTTATCATTTTTGTCTTATAAACCGGAAATATTACGTATACGCAATGTGGTTTTTGTGGATGGATCCCATTTTCTTATTTCCAATTAAAACCGAAAAAAACAGCAACCTGCTTCCATATCTTCTATACAAATTAATTAATCTACATTTTATTAACAAGTTCTTTTAAACATCATAGACTTAGGCTATATATAATTAATGTCTACTCCTATTTCGGCAAAACCACTGGCTCAGCACCCCCTTAACACACTAATATTCCTACTAACTGGTAGTGATGGTGAAACTCGAAGACAGCCTCCTGGCCTCTAATTGAGTTATTTAATCAGCAAACAAGTTCCTTCCCCCTTTGAATGCCAATAATTTATAATCAACAAGTAATTAAGGCTTATGGCCGCCGTAGGATTTGATTTTCTGGTGGCAATGCCGTTTCCGGGTCCTGTAATTGGAAAATGTGAGGAGCAACCAGGAGGACGCAGCCAGGAACCATGACACTCGGGCGGAAGAAAGCTACGATGAAAATGTCCATTAATCATTATCTGGCGCCCCTCAGCCAGTTTACTGACTCATTTATCTATATCAAATCAATTAGCGAACACCTTGAAGCCTTCTGGGGTGGAAAATGTTGGCAGCGGGAAAAAAAGGAGGAGAAAACGGCCTGGCAGAAACCTTTTTCCGTTTGTTCGGATTTCCTTTTTGTCCTTGCTACGTGCCAATTTGGCTCGTTTTGTTCGCTCATTCGTAAATCTAAACAAATCATCAATTTTCACAAATTATACGCGATACGGCCGTATCCGTGTTCAGTATCCGGCTGAGGTCCTTGGGCTCCTTGGTGTCCGTATCCGTGTCCTTGGGTCTTAGGGCCTAATTGCCTGACTATCTTTTTCGCTTTTCTCGCCGCGTTTCCCGCCCTTCGCCGCTGTTCATTTTACATTCCATTAATTAATGTCAATGGCCGACGAACTTTGACATATTGAGCTTTATTTTATATCCTTCTCGTTGTCTCGAAATCCAGGCGCCCAGCTACAGGACTGCAATGGCCAATTTTGTGGTTTAGCCTAATGAAGCAAAATACTTCTATAGAAAATCATGGGTAATAGAAGTATATTGTGAAATCCGGGACGGAATTTGGAGGGCCATCTGCAATTGCTTTGGTAATTATGTAGAAGAAAAGGCAATAAAAATTGTCTTAAAAATCATTATTAAGTTGAATAATTTAATTTATTGGTTATCCTATAATCCATTTTAACATCCAACTAAAAAATGATTCCATGATTCCATACCCTTAGTATCCGCCGATTTATATCTTTTTCCGCAGGTCGTAAATTATACCACAAAATTTATGAGTTTCCAATCAATATTAATTGCCTATTAGATACATTTGAGCCCGATTCATTAGCCACCTGACGCCTGAGAGAACATTTAACTTAAATCGCTTTTCTCGCACGACAAACGAGCATAAAAAAACGCGAAAAAAAATAAGAAGGAGGCACACAATTTAATTCGAATTTGACTTGATCAGACACATTGCATTGAAGAGCTTCGAGACTCATTCAAGGAGCCCAAATCCCAGGACAGAGGACCCAGCCTTTGATAAATGGCACCCATATTAATAACATATGTGTGGGCGTGTTTTGTATCGCCGAGGGTGTGCCAGAGTGCCGAGATACCTTTGATTGATAAGGCTTCCTAAGCGTGTTTGTTCAACCCAGCAAGGGGCCGAGGGGAAGGGGATAAATAAGGCGAAAGGGCAGCGGAAGGGGGGCCAAAGGTAAACGAGGACGAGCTAACGAATGAATGAACGATTTTGCACCTTTTCAACAGGTCTCTTTCTCCGCTCGGGATGTTCAGGCAAATTGAAAACGGGGAGTCAATAAAGCCGTAGACAGTCAGACATGGCCAAGGGCTACATCAGGATCAGGGTGGTCCTTTGGCAAAATGGAATCACAAAATAATTAGGTAACATATTCAATTTTTGCATATATTGTATATCTTTCATACATATCGAAGATAGTACCTTTAAAATAAAAACGGACAATTGTTTAAGGTTCTGAAAACTAGAAAGAAGATAATAAATTCGTAATATTTTTAATTCGTAATAATGTAATATTTTCCGTTTTTTTAAATATTTTAAATCATATTTTTTAAATCTCCAAATACCGTATTTTATCAAGTCCACCCCAATGTTTATTCTACAGTTGTATCTGTGCAATGATGGATTAAATGTATCTCAAAGGCGTGAAAGCCAAAAGGTAGCACAAAGTAGCACATTGTGGTTGCATAATAAACATCAAGCACACTTCAATTTAGTTTAGCCGAGGGCCACAAAAAAAAAGGAAAAAATAATATAACACAAACCGCACACAACAAAGGTTACAAAGGTTCCAAAAATACACACTCTGTAATTGCCAAAGGCCTTTGGCCTTTTCAACCTTATGCAAATCGTACACAACCCGTGGCAAATTTTGTCAGTCAAGCGAAAGATCCCCGATAATTGCAATGTCCTACTCGATATCTTCAAAGGATATTTATACCCACATTCGTACCTCGACAATGGGTCCCCAATCCTGTCTACACTTTACAGATTTGAATTAAATAATGCCCAATAAACCGAAACAACTTTAATTTTAAAAGCAATCATAAAAATAAACTTGGAAAAAATATGGAGTCTGTGGCCATATCAAGTAATAAAACATTAACTGACCAAGCTAACGAACAGCGTAAAAATTATAAAGTAGTTGAACATGATAGGCTCACGTCCAAAAACATGAAAAAAATGATTAATGTCCTGGCGGAGAATGAAGAAAAACGGGCATTAATAAAGTTCAAGTAAGGAGCTGCAAGGGTTCTGGACAAATTGAAAAGAATCCGAAAGCAGAGTCTTGAAAGCAAGGTTTTTTTTTTGTTGAAGAGGTTCTTAATCAAAGCTTAGAGTACAACAAAATAATATTAGACAAGGTCTATAACAAACAGATTAAGTTTAAGAAATGTGAAACCTTACTAGCAAACGTTTTGAAATTAAATGATTAAAGTGACTTAGATATAAGATTCCTAGAAACCTACAAAGTTCAGAGAACCCAACAATTTAATAAAAAAATGTCTTATTAAATTAGTTAAATAATTTTTAGTAACCCAATTAGGGAGTCAATTGACGTCCTACGACCCTCGTCTCAGTTTTCCAAATTTCCGCTGAAAACTTTAATTGATTCGGAAACCGTTCACATTGGGAAAAGTCTTGGCCTGCTCGCTTCGCCGGATGACTTATTATCCTGGCCAAATAGGGATATGGTGGGGTAGGTGACTGAATCTTGATTTGTCCTTGGCCCGTCTGGCCACTCACCAAATCTGTGTGATAATCTGGTGTTGCAATCAGCGCTACAGCCTCCCACTAATGGCAGCCACTTTGTACGGCCATTTTGCTAGGGCTTCCCGTTCAGAACTCGGTCTCCTTCCCTTTCCGGTCTTTGGCCATTTGTTTTCCCAGTGTTTTTCTCTCACTGGCTTCCTCTTTTTTTTTGGCTCTCCTTGCCCTCGCAACGCTTCAATAACTTTTATCACTTTTAATTGGATTTTTCTTTATAGTCAACGCATGTCTTAGAAGACTAACACATGTTCAGATTGTAATTGTGTTAATGTCGCCCGTGTATGGGTGCGAGCTTGTGTGGGCGTGTCCTTTGTTTTTGTTATTGTCCTGCGACATGAGACTAATACCAGTTTCCTTCCACCACACACACAAACACACACACATGTTTATCCATATGTATATCCTGCATTTGTTTGGCAAAATTTGTTTATTTCTTTCTGTTTGCCATTTTTCTCTCAATTTTCTTAATTGCTTCTTAATGTCTGTGCCTTCGGGCAGAAACTTGTCTTTATAAAGTTGGTTTTTAAGCTCGAAATGCGATTATTGCAGGCACTATTAAGCTTGAAGAGAAATCTTCAGGAAAGCACCAACTAGAAGCTCTTTATAAAATAATGTAGCACACTTTTATGGGCACTTAAATTTGTTAAAAAGGCATCTGAAGTTGAAAAACTTATTCAAAAGCTGGTTTCTGAGCGTTTAAAAATTCTTTTTTTAAGTAGAAATATTTATTTCTCTACATTTTCTAAAATTACCGGCTTGTCAACACTTTCAGTTTACTTTAGTTAGTTTTACCAAATTGATTGCATGCCGTAACTATACCAGCTCCCTCACGAAAATCGACCAGAAAAGTTTTCAACTTGTGTCCTCCCAGAGACAGTGTCCTGGAAGTCAGGACAGTTTTTTCTTTCCGTCCTGCTCGAGTCGCTGTTGACACGTAATTGACTTTGTCCGCACTCTTCACGAGGACAATTTGTCCGCCACTTGCTTGGACCAATTAAACGCCATCGATGACCAATTGCAGTTGATGCCAAATTGCTAGCGATTCGCGAAGATTGCCCAACGTAATGGCGGCAGGGGGAGGAGGTCTGTGAAAGTGAATTGGGGTAAGTGAATTTCGGGGAAGGGGGCACAGATGCAACGGACCGTAATCAATGCATAATTTTAATGCCATTCCTGAATGCAATTACGTGTCGAATGTCTTTGGGCTATAAAAGCAGGAGAAAATATTCTGCGAAAATGAAAAACCGTTTCGACAGCAACTCGTTAATATTCGGTGCGATGAAAGTTCAAGTTTTTTCGCAGATCCATGGCTGGATACTTCTGCTATTTGTCCCCTTTCTGGCTGTCAGTTTGGGACCATGTGTGGCTGGCAGCCCACGGAGCTGGACCTCGAATGCCCGGCAGGACCCGAAAACCCCGTGGGGCAATCAGTTGCCGGATATGCTAGTCGCTTACTATCGCCACCACGGCGTTCACAGTCTGATGCTGGTCGTTTGTCACACGGACATTGGTAAATTTATCCAGTGCATGCAATGTGCTTTCTTTTTTCCAAAAATTTATGACCCATACAATACAGTGAAAAAAAGGAAATCATATTTCAAACCATTTTTTTAAAAACAAATCCAATTTCTCTAATTTTTTAAACTTCATAGCGGATCCGAATCTTCAGACTCTATGGCAGCACTTGAATCTCAATGGTTTCTATGTGCAGGTCCATACGGACGCCTCCTTGAGGGATCTGCAACATTCCGATGTCCTTGACGATTTCGTAGATGCACCACCACCAAAGAGTTTCCATGCCAACAACTCCACCCACTGGGCCACGTCCTTTCTGCTGCCCATGTTACCGTATAAATTGGGAATCCTTCTGCTGGAATTTCAGAGCGAATGTGCCTTGAATCTCCTTCGCTGGTCGGCGGCCACAGAGCATAATTACTTTACCACAAATCGTTTCTGGTTGCTCCTCACGGAAAGTCCCGAAGATATTGAATTACTGGAGGATCCTGAAATATTTATTCCACCTGATAGTGAGCTGAGGGTCCTTCATTACGAGAACGACGAGAACTTCACTTCGAGCTTAATAGACTTGTACAAAGTGGCGGCCTGGAAGCCTCTGAAGAGAACCTTGATTGGACACAACATTCGGAATCGGAGACACATCCTTCACGCCTTGCAGCATTTTGGGTCGGCTATTTCGTACAGGCAGAATCTGGAGGGGATCGTCTTCAACTCGGCCATAGTCATTGCCTTTCCGGATTTGTTCACCAACATTGAGGACTTGTCCCTGAGGCATATAGATACCATATCTAAGGTTAATCACAGACTGACGTTGGAACTGGCCAATCGATTGAACATTACGTGGGTAGTCCTTTATGGTTTGGTCTATAATAATCTGTTTTTTTGTTATAATTCCAGTTACAATACATACCAAACCGTCAACTATGGATGGCGTCAACCCAATGGATCCTTTGACGGGCTAATGGGTCGCTTTCAGCGCTACGAGTTGGACTTTGCCCAGCTGGCGATCTTCATGAGGTTGGATCGCATTGCTTTGGTGGACTTTGTGGCCGAAACTTATAGGGTGAGGGCGGGGATTATGTTCCGACAGCCCCCACTCTCGGCTGTGGCCAATATATTCGCCATGCCCTTCGAAAACGATGTGTGGATCTCCATACTCATGCTTCTCATCATAACCACCTTAGTTTTGGTAGTGGAACTGATCTTCTCGCCACACACCCATGACATGGCCTACATGGACACCCTCAACTTTGTCTGGGGTGCCATGTGCCAGCAAGGATTCTACGTAGAAGTGAGAAATCGATCAGCAAGGATAATTGTGTTCACCACCTTCGTGGCAGCCCTTTTCCTGTTCACCTCGTTCTCGGCCAACATCGTGGCTCTTCTGCAGAGCCCCTCAGATGCCATACGATCTCTAGCTGATTTGGGACAATCTCCTCTCGAAATTGGAGTCCAGGACACACAATACAACAAGATATATTTTACAGAATCCACTGATCCTGTTACCAAGAGCCTGTACAACAAAAAGATTGCTTCCAAGGGCGACAACGTCTATATGCGTCCGATCTTGGGAATGGAAAGGATGCGCACCAGCTTATTTGCCTATCAAGTGGAGCTCCAGGCTGGCTACCAAATTGTTAGCGATACCTTTAGTGAGCCGGAGAAGTGTGGCCTGATGGAACTGGAGCCTTTCCAGCTGCCCATGCTGGCGCTGCCCACCAGGAAGAACTTTCCCTACAAGGAACTCATTCGACGACAGTAAGTAGCTTTTCTTTCTTCTTAAAAGTATAATTTTAACAATTACTGAAATAAAAATTAAACAAATTTTATACAGTCGAAAATCGTTGAGAAAAGTAATAAAAGTATCATAATTTCCAATTGAATTACTTTCAGAATACGCTGGCAGCGAGAAGTAAGCTTGGTGAATCGCGAAGAACGCAAATGGATTCCCCAAAAGCCCAAATGCGAAGGCGGCGTTGGCGGCTTTGTCTCCATTGGCCTCACCGAATGTCGCTATGCCTTGGGCATTTTTGGTTGCGGAGCTGCTGCCAGTTTCGGCTTCTTTCTTCTGGAGTTCATCGTCAAACACTTCAAGCAATTTTATCGTATTTATAAAGGATATCGGGACTTGCAGCGCTAGGCTGACGACGTATCTATTTAATTAAAATATGTTAACCTTAGACGGGTATAGAAAGTTCACGAACAACGGCTCGCAGGACGTCGGGTGTTTTGAATTGCCAGTTTTGGATATTCTTGCTAACGCGACACCAGGATTCTCCATGCGTGGGTTCCGCGGCAATGCAGCGATCAACGACTTCCTGCTGTTGCTGTTCTGTCCCGTGTAGCAATTCAAACTTGTAGAAATACGCCCAGGCATCACCCAAATCAGGATCGATTTTAACCTGCAATATAAAACATATTAGATCTTATAGTCTTTAAAAAAATAAGCAATGTCGTTTACTTACCGTTCGATTGAACCAATCCCTGCACTTGGAAAACTTGTGCTCCGACCAAAACAGCTTAGATACCGCCAGCAGTACGTGAGGATCGTGCTCACACTTCTTCAGAGCATCAACCGACTTGGTCTTTCTTTGGGGCTTTGTTTCCATAAAGATGGCCTCCGCCCAGAGCTCGCCGGCGTTGGGGCATTCCTGCAGAGCTCTAGCCATCATAGTGCTGGCGATTTCCTTCAAACCCGCTCGCAGTTCCACCCTAATAGCCTCCAGCCAAAGAACTGCAACCTTTGGATTCCGCAGACGTCCGCGTTCCAGAATGGAGCGAGCCTTTGTCAATACCCCTTTTCGCTCCTCCAAGTTGGCAGACAATATCCACAAAGGTATGGAAGTGGGACACTTTTTCAGACCCTGGGTATACGTAGCCGCGGCATCATCCGTCCTACGCTGTTGCTCCTCAATCTGCCCCTTCATCATCCACAGTTTTGGAAAGTCTGGGAATACCTCGACAGCTTCCACGAGCAGCCTGAGAGCTTCATCGAAGCGTTCTAGAGCCCACTCCAGTCTAGCCGACTTCATCATCACCCTTGGCGTGGGAGCAGATCCTCGAGCCTTGGCCAACAATCGTCGTGCTCTTTCGTATTCCGCATTTTCAGACTCCAATTTAACGGCAGCCAACCAAATATCCTCCGAATTGGGATTAGCCTGAAAGGCCAATGAGAGAATACCTCTCGCTGCTGGCACATCCCCGGCCATCCACTTGGACTTGGCGCCCATCAGCCACAGAATCTCCGATTTGGGACAATGGGCAACAGCGCGCTGAAGTAAAGCCTCCAAGGATTCGCGAGTACCGTGGTTCTTTTCAAAGTAAGCCGCTCTCAGCCAGATACTCTTCTTCGAGGGGAATATTTGCAGGGCATGAGCGTAGACGGCTCGAGCACACTCAAAAGCATTCTCCTTGGCGCACTGAAATATAAGAACGAGTTAACTAAGAACTAAATAATTAAAAGGGTTTATAGCTTACAAATTCTGCATCATCGATCCAGGTTTGCTTGCGATCCTCTTCCTCTACTCCGATTCCAATGACTGCCTTTACAATGGCCTGGCAGCAGTTCACGGCACCCGATTTCTCTGACTCGATGGCTTCCTGGAACCAGTGATCCCTATTAATCTCCACACCATTAACTGTAAGTGATGTCAGGGATCGGTCAATGATCTTCTCCACCATGTGGATGTTTCCATTCGCCTCTTCCAACTTGGCAGCCGTTGTCCAAATCTGGCGATCTGTGGGAATATTCTCACGCGCCTTGTTCAGAACCTTTCTGGCATTCTCGTAGGTTTCCAAACGAGCTAAAGCCAACCAGAGCTCCACACTAGTGTTACAACATTCCACGGCACGAGATAACAGAATTCGTGCATCATCTGGATTTTCTAGCTCCACGGCGGCCTTCCATAGGCGCACAGAGTTAGGAATGTGCTCCAGAGCCTTTCGGAACACCCTTCTCTTCGCCTTAGTTTCGGTTTCCAAGTCGGCTGCCTTGATCCAAATCCGAACAGAGGTGGGAATGTGACGAGCAGCCTGGGCAATCACCGCCTTAGCAGTGTCTGGAGGTTGCAGACGCGCTGCCTCCAGCCAGAGATCTTCCGACTGAGGATTCATTTCGCAACCCCGCATTATCAGATTCCTGGCCATTTGAACTTTTCCAGTGACCTCCTCCAAACGGGCAGATGCTATCCATGCGGGAGGATGATTGGGGTTGGTTTCTCGGACACTCTTGAGCAGTAAACGGGCTTTCTTTATGTCGTTGATGTCACCACCGTAAGTGGGAATCATACTCTGAAGATCGGTGAGGTAGCCCTTGGGATCCACCACAGTTTGACCTGTCACCGAATCAGAAACCTGAGAAAGCTTCACGTTCATGAGGGTATTTCGCGCCTGTCCAATTTTTCGCAAATCCAAATCTCCTGTTGGTGTCAGCATGCCAGGGGTGGCGACACCAGGAACCATGGAAGCCAGTCCTGAAGTTGGATCCAGCGTAGAGGATGTTTCGCCACCCAGATTCCTGGACAGGACGCTATCCGGTAAAGGCGTAAATTTCTCTGCCCTGGGATTCCGTTGCTTGCGGTTTCGACTGTCGCCTACTTCAGGAATCGTAGACCACTCCTCGGACGTGACGCTGGCTAGAGAACGTTTAAGATCACTAAACTGCTGCTGGATCTTCGGCCGCTCCTGGCGATAACGTTCCAAATCCTCGCGCAGCCTTCGATCACGGTACTCCTTCCGTTTCTCATCCATCCGCTTGTCTATAGAGTCGTAAATAGCGTCCGCCTCCTCATCGTCCTTATCGTATGGATCCTTGGAAAACAGGGAGCCACTGTAACCACTAAACTCATCATAGTTTGAGTCGTTCAGATCTTCGTCCTCTTCCTCTTCTTCATCTTTTTTCTTACGTTTGGTGGCTGGCGGCGCATGGCGATCGTCAGACACATCGTTGGCGTCGCGGGCAGGACCAATATCAGATCGGGTGGTGAAGCCAGTGGCACTAAAATCAAAAGTAAACAAAATTCTGTTTTTCTTAGGGAACCCTAGCTCTAAATACTCACCCTCTGCCAACGCCGGCCACATATCCCAAAGGAGCTGGAACTCCTAGGAAATGCTTCTTATTGCGGTTGGCTATAACCGCTGCCGTTATGTTTGACATCTTTGTTTACTTTATTTCTATGCTTTTACCTATTTATTTATAAAATTTCACAAACAAACGTAAGTTTATCTCTGCGTGGTGCTCTTCCTCTTATCTTTAGGAAAACAGTGTTGTAAAGTAATCGTTGCTGGCGTTGCCGGTTGCTAGAGATGAGCAATAGTAAAAGAAATCTTTAACATTTTTTAAAATTTTAGTTTTTTAAAATATTTTTTTACAGAAAATCAACTAGTTTTACAGAATATTTGCTTTTAATATTCTTTGTTTAGGATCTCATTATCGCGGGATTTTTTAAGGGTTTAATCAAGTTTCCAAAAACACATTTCCAAAAAAAAATATGACTATAATAAATAACATTACTATAAAAGTAATGCCCATAAAACCCTTATTAAATTAAAAATGATTCCAATTTCAATAAAAATCATTCAAAAAAAGTACATTTCTATAATTTATTTCAAAAGCACATGCAGTTTATACAATTTAAATTTTATCTAAGTAAAAAATATACAAAAAATTCGTTTTAATTTTCGTCTAAGATACCAGTTGTGTTAACACCTCCGTTTTCGAAGATGGTTCCGGCTATAACCGAAATTTGTTCGTTGAGCGCCTTTTGCCGGCTGGAAGTGATATCCTTGAGATTGTTTATCACTCGGTCGGATGCCTGAATGGTTAAAGCTTTGGTCATGTTCAGCTCGTGCTGGGCGGTGGGCAAATTAAGGTTTACAGCCCGAGTGGCCCGCGATTGTGTTACAACCATGGAGTATATGTCAATGGCAGCGTTTGCCAGTTTGGTAAGCAAAATCTGTTCGTGGATAATGTCCTTCTTGTATCGGATAAGCAGCTCCTCCACCGTCTGACCAAAAAGATCAATGCAATGAGCGGTTTTTTTGGAAAATGGCAACAGTTCATCAGCCACATGAACACTGAGGTCGGTGCCGCCCAGGCCGACTGTGGATGCAGCCCGCTTTGAAGCCTCCTTGAATATTAGTCCCAGATTGGCGGCTGGGTTTTTGAAGGCCTGTTGCAGCTCCTTCAGGTGCGAGCCAGCGTTTTGGATGCCAGTCAAGGCGACAAACAACCGGAGAATATCGTTTGTGCCCTCGAAGATGCGGAAAATACGCAAGTCTCGCAGAACTCTCTCCAGACCCGTCTCAACCATGTAGCCCATGCCTCCCAGGATTTGGATGGCCTCGTCGCACACGGTCCAGGCACATTCAGAGGCATAGATCTTAGATATCGCAGCTTCCAAATGGTAGTCCTGACTACCAGCATCCATGTTTTGGGCAATGGCGAACGCCATCGATTCAGTAGCGTACTGCAGAATGTTCATTTGTGCGATTTTGTCCTGGATTCCCTTGTAGTTCTTAAGATGCTGCCCGAATTGTACTCGGTTGGTGGCATGGGCAGTGGCAAGTTCAATGCATTTCTTCATGGTTCCGGAGAGGGTGGCTCCCATTCCAAAACGACCATTGTTCAATATATTCATGGCCACCTTGAAGCCATCGCCTTCCTTGCCCAGAACATTTTCCACCGGAATTTTCACATCCTCGAAGTAAACCTCTGTGGTGTTCGAGGCCTTGATACCCATTTTCTTTTCTGGCGGGCCACTGGTGACTCCTCCAAACGAACGCTCCACTATAAAGGCTGTAACTTTGTCCTTCTTCTGGCCAGTCTTGGGATCCACTACTTCGGTCTGGGCAAAAACGGTCATGATTTCAGCAATGCCTCCATTGGAAATCCAGATTTTGGAGCCATTCAAGACATAGTATTTGTTATCCGGAGTCTTTACCGCTCGACAGCGAATGGATCCAGCATCCGAGCCAGAACTGGGCTCCGTAAGAGCAAATGCAGCATAAACAGTTTCGGCGGCCACTTTCGGAAGGTATTTGGCCTTTTGCTCAGATGTTCCATACAAAAGTATTCCCTTGAAGCCGATACTTTGGTGAGCGCCAATGGTAATGCCGAGGCCCAAATCATTGGCCCCCACAATGGCGCAAAGTCTTCCATATTGAGTATTGTTCAAGCCCAAGCCACCGAAATCTGATGGTACTTGAATTCCGAACGCGCCGAGTTCCCATAACGCCTTCGCTACGTCATCATCCATTTTTCCGTTGGCATCGCTTTTGGCTGCATCGTTAACGTCCGAAAAGAAGCGTTCAAACGGGTCTATGAGGCTGTTGGTCAATTCCTTTTGTTCCGCCGTCAAAACATCTGGATAGGGAAAGACTTGTTTGGAAACCAGTGACCCTCGAAAAATGTTGGCCATAAAAGATTGATTTTCGGTCACAGTGGACTTGTTTCGGCTGTTACATACTGCATTAAATTTGGCTTGGTTGGCTGGCAAACGGCTGCAGATGAGGGAGCTCACGGCCAGATTGCAATTATTCAAGGTCCTGTATTTCCACATATTTACGAAAGAAAGTCGAACTTTGTACTCTCCCAAGATCAATGCTATGTTTGCTTCTTCCAATCAGACTGCAGTGTTGGAAAGTGCGATCATTTTATAGCGATGCTGTTGGCCACAGAGGGGACAGCTGATAAAGTCACAGTGAAGGGTTGAAAGGTCAAACTGTTATTTCTTCGAGTTTATAATAAAGATATTTTAAAACTCTCCAAAACATATTCACAACTTAAATATCTTGCTTAAAAAAAAACTTGAATTAATAAAATATTCTTATATAGGTAGCTTTATAGCTGAATATAAGTTAATTAGGTCAGGGGAGGTCCCTTTAATGTCCATAAAAGGAACCTTTAATGCATGTTTAACATCAATTATGATAGGATCAGATACAATTCCACCTATTTACAAGGTTTTAAACATTTTTGTTATTGTTTAATTGTTTGTTTATAGTCAAATAATGTTTGTAATGTAATGTATGTAAAATTAGTATGTACATATGTAAAATTTTTCGGAACTCAGTATTTCACGAGTAAAATTTTAGTCTCACGATATACATTTATCGAATTCATTTATATATCGATAAATTTTTTAATATTGTCAACAACCCTAGAATTGCAAATCGGGCATAAAATATTAGCAAAAAGGGAATTCAGGAAACAATCCGTATTTATCTTGAATTTTACGCAGTAAATCGACGCAAGATGCCCGTGCTGCCGATGCCGCCACTAATGCAGGTGATTTGCCATTAATTCACATCTTTTTCACACACATTTTTCAACGAGAGTTCTTTATTTTTATATGTATTTTTTAAACAAAAGAACGCAGTGGAGCCGATGCAAGTGGATGCACCGCCAAACGAGGATAATGAAAACAACGAGGAGCAGCCTATTGTTGTGGAAAATCCCAACATCGATCTGGAGGTGTACGCAAATCAATATACCGGCATAGTGCGACTGCACCGCCTGATTTATGTGGCCGACGTTTGTCCCAGCTTGGCGGTGGAAGCCCTGAAGATGGCCATTACCTATGTGCAGACCACCTACAACGTAAATCTTTACCAGGTACTTCATAAGCGCCTGAGCGATCTAACTGCCGGTAATGCTCCGGCTCCGTTGGGAAATGCAGGTGGTGACCAAGCAGCTCCAGCCGGTGGTGGTGCTGTGCCGGCAGTTGCTCCTTTGCCGGATATTGCCGCCCAACCAATGGCCCAAGCTCAGGGACAAGCTCAACCTGCCGGCGAAAAGGATGCCTTTGCATACGACGCAGGTTGGGTGGACACTAAGATGAAGAAGGCTGCCCTGAAGCTGGAGAAACTAGACTCGGATTTGAAGAACTACAAATCAAACTCGATCAAAGAGAGCATACGTCGTGGACATGACGATTTGGCTGACCACTATCTCAGCTGCGGAGACCTCACAAATGCCCTAAAGTGTTATTCGCGGGCCAGAGACTACTGCACCAGCGGCAAGCATGTTGTCAACATGTGCCTTAACGTGATTAAGGTCTCCATTTATCTCCAAAACTGGGCGCATGTGATGAGCTACATTTCCAAGGCGGAAAGCACGCCAGACTTTTCCGAGGGATCCAAGGAAGCAAACGCCCAAGTCCACACGCGGTTGGAGTGTGCTGCAGGCTTGGCGGAACTGCAGCAGAAAAAGTACAAGGTGGCTGCCAAGCATTTCTTAAACGCCAACTTCGACCACTGCGATTTCCCCGAGATGATCTCCACGAACAATGTGGCGGTGTACGGTGGTCTTTGCGCCTTGGCCACATTCGATCGGCAGGAACTGAAACGACTCGTTATAGCGTCCACATCATTCAAACTGTTCCTAGAATGGGGACCGCAGATTAGAGATATAATATTCAAGTTCTACGAAAGCAAGTACGCATCCTGTCTGACTTTACTGGACGAGATCAAGGACAACCTACTTGTGGACATGTATATAGCTCCCCATGTCACCAATCTATACACCAAAATACGAAATCGGGCTTTGATTCAATACTTTAGTCCCTACATGTCGGCTGATATGCACAAAATGGCCATGGCTTTCAATTCATCCGTGGGCGACTTGGAGAACGAGGTGATGCAGCTTATATTGGATGGGCAGATCCAGGCACGCATCGACTCCCACAACAAGATCCTGTACGCCAAGGAAGCCGATCAAAGAAACAGCACATTCGAAAGGGCTCTGATCATGGGCAAGCAGTACCAACGACAAACCAGGATGCTCATCCTTCGTGCTGCCATGCTGAAAAGCCACATTCACGTGAAGAGCATCTCGCGGGAGGGTGGCAGTAACCATGGCGCCGAGCTTTGCGTATCTGCCGGATCCTCCACAACCGCTCAGCTGGCCAGGATCTAAACCCTGTATACTAACCATAAATATTTGAATATCACACATATGTGATGGAATAAAGAATTTTAGCGAAGCTAACTGCGAGTTGATTTATTTCGGATATCCAGGGTATTCATGATGTTTCCAAACTATGGGTATCGATTTTAAAAGTTGTATAAAAAAGCCAATGTGGCTGTATTTTTGCCATTTCCATCCGGATTCCAGATCGAAACACCTTAAAAGATTTGTAGATTGATGCTTCAATATTTTTTAGATTTTTTGAACATTTTTCTGGGGGATCCCCTTCAAAAACTGTAAAAACTGCATCGCGGAACACCTTTATCTTCAAAAAATAAATAAAAAATAAGTTTTACTGATTTTTTTTTTTAAATTTATTCATAAAAAGTACAAAAAGTTATGGTTTTAGTGATGAGTCGACCACTATTCTATTTCCTTGAGTAATCTCTGCGATCTTTCTCTCTTCTCCTGTCCCGGCTGGTAGAGCGAGAGCGATCCCTTGATCGAGATCGATCTCTGCGATGTTTCTTTTCATCTTTGCGGCGATGGTGGCGTTCCTCCGAATCCCTTGATCTATTCGAAACGTGTTTCTTGGCATCTTTGTGATGACTTCTATGATCATCTTCAGAGTCACTGCTTTCCGAAGAAGATGAGGACGACGAACTATCATTATCTGAAGATTTTCTCTCCTTCCTCCTGGATTTCTTTTTCTTTTTGCTGTCCTTGTCGTCTTTTTGCTTTTTGGATTTCTTCTTGTTGGATTTCTTGATGCCTTCGCCCTTACGTTTCATTCGTTCAATTTTCTCCAGCTTTTTAAGCAACTTTAGCTTTTGTTTTTTTGTCAGAGATTTAAGAAACACTAACTCTGGATTTTGCTGAAGGTGGTTGGATTCCTCCTCGCCATCGCTTGGCACCAGTTGGTGCTTTTGCTGATTTATTTTGATGCTCTGAAGCTCCAAAGCCGATCGTTTCATCATCAGACCATCTTCCTTCATTTGTTCCTCGAGGACGTTCTTGGCCATAATGTCGTCGGCCTCGGTTTCGGCGTGAATTTTACGGGCTTCGCTCATAGAAATGCTGTACATGGTGCACTCCTTGTCCGTATTTATGTGACCCCACTTGTGGCACTTCAAGCAACGAACATTTCGCACTTGGATGCCGAAAGGTTGATCCCTGATCTCCGTATCCCCCTTGCAGTACGACTCTCTGGGTGCATTATACTTTCGTTGCCACTCAAACTTGTACTCGGGCTCATTGTCATCCTTTTCGCGTTCCTTCCGCACGCCTGGCGGCGGCTCGTACATAAAATTTACACTTAATTTGTCTTTGCTGTCCTTGCTCAGCATTGCCTTGTTCTCATGTAAATTCTGTTCCTTTTCATATTGGTTACGCAGCTCCTCTTGCTTCTTTTTGTAAGCCTCAGCTTGCTGCTCTGCCATCCATACCTAAAAAAAAATTACTTTTATTAATTGGTATTTCATCAGAGGAAAATCCAGTACTCACTCGCTTTAAATTATCCCTGGACGCGGGATGGAAGAACTTTTTGCACATGTAATTGTTGAAACCTTTTCCCATCTTGCTGTTGGTTATTTATCTGCCCAGTCTGACCCGAATAAAGAATTTATAAATTGTGCTGCAAACAATTTTCAGGGGGACTGCTTTGTTTATAAAAAAGTCAACACAGTGTTGCAAAAGTTTAATAGATATTTCGATAGTTTAATAGACTTATCGATAGGTATATGTTACCAACACTTATTTTTAATAAAATACTTTATATTTGAGAGTTTTTATTCCATTACATTTAATCGTAAAGTTAAAAAATGTAAAAACATTATTTCATAACAATATATCATACAGAATTCCAAAACACGAACTACCAAATTTTTTCCAACACATATGTTTTTAAGCAGAAGTACGCTTTCCAACACTCTTGCTTATAGCGCCTCTCCTGAATAACTAGTCGCTTGTACTATTTTAAGCATCGAAAATGGAAAACTACGACGAATCTATTATGGTTTATTGTCCATACAATAAAGAGCACAAAATGTTGCGCAAGAAACTTCAGCAGCATATCCTCAAGTGCAGAGAAATTCACAAAGACACGGTGGAATTGAAAGTTTGCCCATTTAACAAGATTCATTTGATCCCAGAGCCCGAGTTTTTCGTAAGTGACCCCAATCTTCAAAATTATCACTATGAATTATCAGCAAATTTCTTATAGCAACATGTCAAATTCTGTGAGGATCGGAAGATCATAGTTCAATATCAGACCAGTGCTGCGGCTGTTATAAACGACGACACAAAACACGCAAAAATAGAGTCTGAAGAAAATTGGGATGATGTTAATGTGCCCGATTATGACCCCCAGGCCTATTGCTCCAGTGCTAACATTGTCCGTGAGCCTAATGGGCTGTTTCCCTCGCAAAGGAAGGCGTTTATTAAGGAAGAGAATCGCCGTCGTTTCGGAGATGACTACGACAATGAGGAACAGCCTAAAAAGAACAAGTCACAAGAACCCCGAAAAGGGAACAGACCCATGCCCTACGATCGCAACTCGTCTAACAGACGGTGATCATGAATAACTACCAAATGTTCTTAGTTTCTTGTAATAATCCTGCAAATAATAATACTAAGTATAAGATTTTTTGTTAGCTTTGTTAGTTAAATAACTATGTATAACCAGTCACACAGGGCTTAATCAATTGTTAAAGGTTTCAAATATCTACATTTTGATGTTTGATCCATAAGTTTGGAATTTCTCTTTTTGGATTGCTTCCCATTCCCATACCGTTTTCGTTCGGCACCCCTAATCTTCAATTTATCTCCACGACTCAATCTGCAATGTTCGGCATCCCTAAACTTCAATTTATCTCCACGACTTATTCTGCAATACGATCTTACTATAAAGTCGTAAATAGGACATAAATATAAATAGTACATTTTCTACGGCCATATAGAAAAAGGAATTTTTTATTATTTAAAAAATATCCAAATCTCAAAAAACCACACTAGATCGTTTTAATATTATTAATTGAACCCAAAAAATGGATTATAAAAACCTGTTTCTTGCAAACCAGAAGGGAATAATATCTTAAAATCTATGTTGTAATCCAACTAATCGCTAAACCTTTTTGGGAAAAACTGAAATAAAAATAATAGTCCAAGACAAAAATCTGAAAGCTCGAAACGGTTTTAAAGAAAACTCAGGAAAACAAAACTCACAACTGTTTGAAAAAAAAAATAAAACTCAAAAATGATTTCAAAGACATCAGAAAATTAACTTTTGACAATATAATGAAACTGCGATAAAGTAGTTGTAACACTTAACGAACTGAACTAAAAGAACACTGAAGAAAAATTGAAAATTATTGTACATATATGTTTACTATGTTATAGAGTTAGGGAAAAAGTGAATTACTTTTTCAGATGACTAGATCTCGTTTGTTCAAAGCTAGACAGTGTTACAAGTTTATAAAGACCATGTTTCATTCAATATTTCAGTCATAAAAAGTTAATCCAACTGGGTGTATAGATAAATGATACCGATATTTATAAGAAGCATTTTGTTTTCCATTTTTTACAAAGGACATTAGGACATTAGTATTCGTGAAACATTGCTATTGTTAAGATAACCACTGAAGTTTTAAACTTGAAGTAGAGACTCAATAAGTGTTGTTCGAAGAAACACACACACTCGCAGCAAGTTGTTGCTTTATCCACTTTTTAATCAAAACATCAAATCATCCGTTTATGAAAAGAACTATTCTTTATTGTAAAGAAAGGAGTCATTTTCACAGGCTATTTTTTTTGTTGTTTAGTTTTTTACACTCTAATCCGTATGGTAAAAACAGTAAACAGTGTGTCACATTGGCTGGTCCACTTGGCTGTTTCCCGACATTTACGCGGTCTCCATGGGCTGGGCGGCGGTTTCCTCGGTGTACTTGCCCTTGTCCTTGCCCAGAGCGGCCAGACGTCCCTTGCCACGCCGCTCCAGAATGGCCTTACGGTCCTTGTCGAGCTTCAGCTTGACGATCAGCACCTTGCTGGGGTGGATGCCAACATAGACGTTGGTGCCGTTAGCGTTCTCGCGCTGGATCTTCTCGACGTAGACGACGAACTTCTTACGGTAGGCCTGGACAACCTTGCCAACCTGGTTACCCTTGAAGTGGCCGCGGATCACCTGCACCTCGTCGTCACGACGGATGGGCATCGAGCGCACGTTGTACTTCTGACGCAGCTCCTTGGACAGGGGGGCGGACATGAGGCGGCGGCGGATGTGCGAGGGCGCCTGGAAGTGACGCTTGCGGTTCTTCCTGCGCGACGACGACACGAACGGATTCTGCTTCATCTTGCTTGTGCGCCTGTAAACAAAATACGGTTTTTTGATAAGTGACTGGAACGGTTGCAAAGGTACACACAGGCAATATTTTTGAGACGGTAGCTCGATTTATTTACTTAAATATTAGAAAATTAAAGATAAAGCCACGTGTGGCGAACAGACCTAGCCGAAACGAGAGGTTAAAAAGAAAGAGACCAGATTTGCGGAGGGCGAGTCATCCAGCAAACCAGGGCTTCTAAAAAGTTTCCATAAACATTGTAACTGAATATTCTGGTAACACTTTACTGGGCAGGGTTGTAAAATATCTTAAAACAAAAAGCTTCAATTTAATTTAAAGGATTTAAAAAGAATATTACGATTATTCATTATTTAAAATCACTTTTTTTTTACATTTATTCACCGTACATATAGAATGAATATTGGTATTAGAGCTACTGCAGTGTCGGCAAAATAAAAAATACTACACTTTTCAATTGTAGTATTTTTTTTAATTTTAGTATTTTTTTATAAAAGAAACATAAATATTTTTATTTAAAATATAGCTTATTTCCAGGATTAATGAACAAAATCTAATCCAGTTCCTTAAAAACTAAACTATTACTTAAGCCGACAAAGTTATATTTCTAAATTTTATAGTTTACTCCTATAAGTTATACTCCTATAAGTTCCTATAAATAAAACCCAACATATACGTTATAAATGTTTATCCTAACTTATAAAATTAATCTATATAAGTTAAAATTTGAATGTTGAAATTTTGATAAAATAAAGGACAAAACGTAAATTCATGGCTAAATTAAAAAAAAAAGCATTAACCATAAACCGCTTAAGCCACTGCACTGTCCAGTGTGTTGAAAAGCTATTGCATGGTGAAAAGTTTTTTCAAAATCTTCTTGAATTGCTGATCGCCGGTGCTGCTGCTGGAGAATCGGTATTGAATATTCACTCGTGTTTGAGCAGTCAACTTTTAGCGTTGTACCTTGGGGAACTGCTCCACAGATCGTATAGAGCCCAGTTTGGCCACTTGATTGAATTAATACCTTCAACACATTCAAGATGATGAACAGCCTGAAGAAACTGCCTGTGCGCATGGTGAGTAGTTGCCACGCCCCCCCGTCGAGATTCTGGCTTTAATTTAATTTGTTTCTGGTTCATTTGTATAATAGCTGGTAAATGCCGCTGCACGTCAGCAAAATGCTGCGATGTCCTCGACCACAGGTCTTCCCCCACCACTCACCTTCCTCACCGACGACGAGAAGATGATGAAGGAGACTGGTGAGTTGTCCCCATTGGGGAATTTATACTTGTAGCTGTAAAACTGAGTCCCCGAACATGATAAGCGTGCTTTATTTTCCATACCACAATATTAGATATTTTATTTTGTTTAGCTAGTCGGTCTAGTTACGTAACTCCAAGCAGAAATCTATTGATGCTGTTCTCTTTGTTATTTATGAACATTTCCATTCCAATATTAGCTAAAGGCACATTTATAGTATAGTGCTGCATTGTTGGGTGTATTAATATATTTTTTGGATTTTTTTTCTTTTTTTGCTGATAAAGGGTGTTTAGTTAGGGAAGAGGAGGAGGTCGCTTGCCAGATAAGCACATTTTTTGATTAGTGTAGGTAGTGTAGGTAAAATGTCATTTATTATCAGGAAAGAAGATTTTATTTCTGTTTCAATACAAACGTAATATTTTAAAGGAGAAATTTATGTTTAAATAGTTTTGTATGAATGTATGATCAGGTCTTAATCAGAAATCGGAAAATTTCCAAGATAAATTAGCCAAAATTATATAATGTTTTATGTTTTCTATTATGCTTTTATTTATTAACTATTTCCTATTTTTATGTGTGGTTAATTTTTGAAAATGAAAGCTAACTAAAAGGTCCTGATATGTACCTCTGAGGTCCTTAAGAAAGATATATACGTATTCATAAAAAATAAGTATGTATATGTATACATTTTTGCATAAAGTCGTTGTCCGCATCGCCTAATTTATAAATTTCACAGTAAAACTATGTATATAAATAATTTTTATTACTTAAGACAATTGAAAGTAAAATTGATCCAATTAATATGTAAAATGGCATCGGAATGAATAGTGATCAGTGAAAGTGAACTTTGTAAATATTATCTAAAATTATTAATTTTGTGTTAAAAAAAAAATATAAACCCAAAAGGACATTTTATGGCTTACAAAGCTTTTTAGTTTTACGCCAAAAAGCTGCCAGCTTGGCAAGTTCAAGGTCTGACCTTATCACAAGCTTTCTGAGGGTAAAATTTTCCCCTCATTAATCTCAATAGATTTTGCCTTTTATTATTTATATTTACTATGTTATAGAAGAAAGACATTTTCAGGCACGCGTACCACAAGTAAACCTAAAAAGGGGGTGGGGTGACACAATACATATATACCTGCCATACCTCCCAGTCTCACACACACGTGGTCTATATATAGCTTTCTGCCGCTTCGCTGTTCAGCAGCGACTTCCACCGCCGTCTTTTCTTGCCCGGCGTTGGCGTTCCTCGCAGCGCGGCCGGCAAAATCAAGAAATAAATGGTACCAAAGCGCGAGTTCGAGTTTAAGTCAGGTTTTTAAACAACTATCCGCAGCATAAAAAAAGTTTAAAAAATTTTACTTAAAAAAAAATTATACTACCGAGCACATCCTTTAAAATTTAAAACCTCCTGCACCTTTCTTCACAAGTCAGTCAGCAATTTGGTTTTGGGTTTTTTAAGCCACGTCGACCAAAAGGCGTTACACTTGTGATAGAGCATTAAATGCGGCTGTGTCACGCCCCCCGCCCACCTGTGGTCACTGTTCTAGTGTTCACGCCGGGCAATCGGGGGCTGGCACTGGCCGGGCGCCCCTCCCTAGAGAGTTGAGCCAATTGAGTGGGGGTATTTCTCCTGCAAACCAACTGGCTCCTAGTTGGGATGGTTACATTTTCTTTCTAAATTAATTATTCATTTTTTTTTGCCAAAAACGAATTTTCTTTGTCCCGCTTATCAATCAATCAATTGGTCCCTCAATCTATATGGCCTCCTATATAATATTAATATTTAATATGGAAGTGTGCGTGTCTATATGGTACGATGGTTGCGTAATATGAGCTGAATGCAAAGTGGCTAAGTGCATAAAGTAAAACTGGTTTTTTTTATAATTTCAAAACAACATTCAGTTTAAGTTTTATTGCACTATCTTACACCCTAAGTTAAGTGATCTAGTGTTTAAAATAAATTGTTTTTAATTAAATAAAATCTGATATTATTAGGTTTTTGATTTAAATCGTTTTATATTTGTTATCCGTTTTTTTCCTAAGACTTCCAGCTATACCCAAGATTCGTCCATCTTACTTTTTACTTTTTGGATAAAACTTTATATATTTATAGATAAACCAACTTTATATATTAAATCCATTTTAAAATATTTATCCTATATTTCATAATTTAATGATGTAGAAACAAAACTAAATACGCATTAGAGAATTTTTCTAGAAATATAATTCTTTAAAATTCCAGTACAGTTGACCACAAAACATTCTACAGCCAAGAATATTTCTGAAAAGCTTTTAACAACAAGATTTGTTGCCTTAAAAAAAACGAAAAAGATTGAAGAATTTAAGGATAGTGTAGGTTAAGGATAAAAGTCCTGTGGGACACGTAACACATGGTGCTAAATGGCTGGAGACATCGCATATGGTGTGGAAAACTTGATGAATATGTTAACAAAATGAATTATTTAAGCATATCCCATGCCAAGCGAGTCACAAAAAACGTTTCCCATTGCATACAAAAAAGCAGGAAAGTAAATAGAGAGGATATAAGGAGGTGGGTGTGTACCAGTTGTTGGCTTTTCAAGCAGCACAACAATGTCTGAAAAAAAAATAAATGCTTAAAAAAAGATCAATAATAAATATGCCGAGAATACTAGAAATGGTTTTTTAGGAGAATGGGGAGAGCTGAGAGAGCCCCACGCGATCAGAGAACTCCAAGAATCTGCTGATAAAAAACGACACACGCACAACCCACACATAGAAACAAAGTATCTCGAATATATACCTCAACTTATACAAACATATATGTATCTGAGAGTAAACATCAGGCCCCTTAGAAGAAAAAGAGGCAATAGATACAAGACAAAAACTTACGATTTTTTGAAAAAAACGTGCAGTTAAAAGTTTTTTAAAGCTTCAGTAAAAGCTTTTAGTGATCAGTTGCAAGAAATAAAATGTTTGTCAATTAACAGAAAAAGCTTTTATAAAATGGTATAGTTTGAATGTTTTTTTTTTAATATTGGAAATTATGACCCATATTAAAACCATGTTTTCTAATCTCTTTCAGTTGCCAAATTGGCCCAGGATCAGATCCAGCCTCTGGTCAAGAAAATGGACTTTGAGCACAAGTTTGATCCCTCTGTGGTTAAGGCCGTCTTCGAAAATGGTCTCATGGGCATTGAGATCGATACCGAGCTTGGCGGCAGTGGCTGCAACTTCATGACCAACATCATCGTTGTGGAGGAGTTGTCCAAGATCGATCCCGCCGTGGCTGCCTTTGTGGACATTCACAACACTCTGGTCAACTCCCTGATGATCAAGTTCGGCAATGACGCCCAGAAGGCCAAGTACCTGCCGAAATTGGCCCAGGAGTATGCCGGCAGCTTTGCTCTGACCGAGCCCGGAGCAGGATCCGATGCCTTCTCCCTGAAGACTGTGGCCAAGAAGGACGGCAAGGACTATGTGATCAATGGCACCAAGATGTGGATCTCCAACTCGGATGTGGCTGGAGTTTTCCTGGTCTTTGCCAACGCCAAGCCTGAAGATGTAAGTTGTAGTTTTCACTTTTCAAGCAGCTCTATCGATTGCATAATATTTTCCATTCCTTATCTTAATGTTTTTCAAATTATTCCACTCTTATCGCTTTGAAATCAAAGTTCAGATCGTTATAAGATTAAACGGGCTACTTTTTTTTAATGGAAATAATAGACTTTTAGTAATATATTAATCCATTTATTTTAGGGCTACCGTGGCATTACCACCTTCATTGTGGACCGCGATACTCCTGGACTGATTGTGAACAAGCCTGAGGACAAGCTGGGCATCCGCGCTTCCGGCACCTGCATGATCACCTTCGACAATGTCCGCGTGCCCGAGGAGAACATCCTGGGAACCTTCGGCCATGGCTACAAGTACGCCGCCGGTTTCCTGAACGAGGGCCGTATCGGTATTGCTGCCCAGATGGTGGGCCTGGCTCAGGGCACCTTCGATGCCACCATTCCCTACCTGCTGGAGCGCAAGCAGTTCGGCGAAGCCATCTACAACTTCCAGTCGATGCAGCACCAGATCGCCACCGTGGCCACCGAAATCGAAGCCGCCCGCCTTATGACCTACAATGCCGCCCGTCTGCAGGAGCAGGGTGTGCCCTTCCTGAAGGAGGCCGCCATGGCCAAGTACTACGCCTCCGAGGTTGCCCAGAGGGCGGCCATCAAGTGCGTGGACTGGATGGGCGGTGTTGGCTTCACCCGCGACTTCCCCCAGGAGAAGTACTACCGTGACGTCAAGATCGGAGCCATCTACGAGGGCACCACCAACATGCAACTGAGCACCATTGCCAAGTGCATCAAGAAGGATTACTCTGGCTAGGATCGTAACCCAAATCCTTTGTCATCTAATCCTATACACAAGCTGAGATATCGTACGTCAGATACGTCAAGTGCATTTATGTGTGAGAACTGCAGGAACATTTCTTCGGTAATCTGATTTCAGTTCTCTCCATGTTACCTTAGCATTTAGCACATAGTCTTTTTGTTATATTGTATCAAATACAATTAAATTTACATTTTAATATAATTGGAAATAGTTGATATTATTTTTGGCCGTTTCCATCGGTTGTGGTGAAAGCTGCCAGCATTATATTGATCACTGTGATCAAGAAAACTCCCATTACCAGAAGATCGTTGGTTCTTTCGTAGCTACGACCCTTGAATCGCTTAAGACGTCTCTGTGGAGTGTTTTATATTATTTAAAAAGGTTTTTTTTTTTAAATTGATATAACTTACCTTAAATATCAGCGTTATCCCAACCAATATCTGAAGTACCAGAGAAAGTATCACCAGAATTAAACAGTAAATATAGGTTGAGACCTTGTCGTTATAAAATATCAAGAATACCATGAGGCCTGTAATGAAAATAAAATAATTAAAAAATATATATTTATTAACTGAATACTTACCTTCTGCCACATATTTATTTGTGGCATAACTGTTTCCACCCGATAAGTCACTTGAGCATTTTTTCTTTTTACTCATGGGTGTTTCTAAGTTACTAATGCTCTGATTCTCCACTTCAAGCTCCTCTATTGATATTTCCGTATCCAATTCACCTCGATCGCCACAGCATGGACCACTTGTCGTACTGACGAAACTCCCCTCGGAGTTGGGGGAATCCTCCATAGATATTTTTTCAACATTTGTGTCCATCGTTCGAGTGTTTTATAAACAATAAACACTGAAATATATATTTGTGCAAAAGCTTTGCTTGCTTTTTCAGTAAACTTTTGCGGTTCGTGGTTTCAAAAATTCCGATAAAAAAGGAATGACACTGACCCAACTGGACGACCCGCCAAATATCTGGGGCAACTGGGTCTGACGACTGACCCGGAAAGTATTGCACGGGTTGAGATACTCACTTAAAAGATTGCCCCCGAAAGTATGCTACCAAGATGAATCTTAAATGAGCGACAGATAGTGTTTATAATAAATTTTTAATTTACTTAGCTTTTTTATAAATTATTATCATGTTTTGTTTGAGGATACCCGTTCTGCAAAAGTGGTTCTCTTTATGGTCTTTATGGGAAGTCATAAAAGTGCCACACAACCTGAACAAACAAGATCCACTTAAGTATCTTTAAGATACGCAAACACAGCTTGCTTTGTCACCTTTTTGCGGATTTGCAAGGTTCGCATTGATACTTTTTGTGCCCTATCCTCATTCCATAATTAAAAAAGTAGAAAAAGTTTTTAATAGGGTTAACCTTTGATAGGTAATTATAAGTTCTTTGGAAATAGTTTTTTTTTAAATGACTAGCCAGCTGTCGTAAAGGATACAAGTGCGGTTTGTAGATGGAAGAGGCGGTTCTATAGTTTTGAAACTTAGTTTTAAGTTTTTATTTAACGTAAGTTTTATAATTTTTGTATGAACTTATTTAAAAATATTTTTTTTTAGCCTTAATTTTAATACCTTCCCAAAGATTCTGCTTAAAATTTTAAGTCTCCCCTCGAAAAACATACAGGACCTCATCGAGCAAGTGCGTCACGCGAGGCAAACAACTGCTGCCCCGAATCCTCTTTTCCTTTCCACCCCCTCCGCTTTCGGCTTCTTGGTCCTGACCATAAAAAAGTCAGCCGTTTGTCTGCGTCTCTCCCCCCCGTCTCTCCCCGTCTCTGCGGCTCGAAACCGCAACAACAACAACCAGACACAATTGCTAAGCAGCGGCAGCTCCCACGCTGGCTGTCTCTCACCAGCCGGCACTCTACTGGGCCCCAACCTCCCCTTGCAATTTCTCCCCCCAACCGGCACTCTCTGGGCCTCCTCTCTCGCCAACTGATTTATTTAGCACGTGTAGTTTGTTTGCCATTTTGGCTGCCATGCTTGTAGCCCCCATCGTTGTTTGTTATGACTGGAGCTGGCGCTCTTTCGCTGCCATTCTCCCGCGTGGCGCTCTCTTTATGAGCCCGTACTGTGGGACTTATTAGGAGTTATTGCATTTAATTTAATAGGAGAATGTTTCTACACAGATAGAATGCGTTAGAAAAGTTGCCGAATTTAATCCCAAATGGAAATGATTTGTTCTTAAGTCCGGATTTTCTTGTTTTAAGTATGAAAGCACTAATTTTTTCAATCCAAAAAATTTTGACCAAATCCCGACCATTAGATATTGTAATCCCAAAAAATTCTTGATTTAATCCTTGCTGTTCCTTAATAATTTAATCCCGAAAAATTCTTGATTTAATACTGACTATTCTTCAATAATTTAATCCCGAAAAAATCTCGACCATTCTTATATTTTTTAAGACCAAAAATTCCTGATTCAAGACTCACTATTTTAGATATTTAATGCCAATAATTCTGGATTAAATTTTGATTATTTTTAAATATGTTATTCCCAAAACTTCTTAATTAAATCCCTAAAATTCTTCAAAATTCTAATCCCAAATACGATTATATTTAGATTTATGTGTGAAATTTGTGTTGAAATTTTTATTTAAATTTTTTTTTTATCAAGTTTAAAATAATATTAATTTTAATTCAATTTGTTAAATTAACATCCTTGATTTTTCATGAAAGGTATAAAAGAAAAGTAAGAGATATTTTTAAAGAATCATCCACTGTGCGTTTGGCTCTCTGTGTGGCTTCATTCATGCAATGTTCCCGGTGCACGCATGCTCCAAACAGAGACTTAAGCGGCAGGCGACCTTTCTACCAAGTTTTAGACCGAAACAGTTCTCAGTTCTGTTTGGAACGTCGTTCGGTTTGGCAGTAATTTTTTGAGTTTTCGGTTTTTTGGTATTCCGTGCTCGGTTCTAAGACTTTTCCTCTCTTTTCCAACCCCCTGACCCTCTTGGCCCCTGGGCCCTCGGCCGCGACCCGGTAAAAAAAAAAGAAGAGGAACCTGCGAGTGCCCAAAACGTAAACTTTTCATTGATTTTCCCAGGCTAATTTAAGTTTATGGATATATAACCAATGCCTAAATATAAATACACCCAACAAATGTGTTTCATCTATAAGTAGTCTAGATTTAAAGGTAAGTTCAAGTGGTGATGACAGCCGTTGAAATAACAAAAACTAGAAATCAATGACCGAAATCTGCATGTGCCCGCCTTGACCCCAGTAGGCTCCATATTGTTTCTCTCTCTCGCCCAACCTCCTTGGCCTCGCCTCTTCTTATTTGGCCAAACCTGATTTGACCCGGCGAAAAAAGAAAACTGTCTATAAAATCAATACAATGGCCTAAACTTACTTATATTGCATAATAAAAGCACGTATCTTTTTCCGAACACAAAGGAACTGGACCTACTTTTTCAGATATATGGCTTACACTTAAAAGGCAGAGGGTTTTCATGTCTTATGTAGGTTTATGCTGAAAAATGAACCATATAGATCAATATACTCTTTTTCTTAAAGAATTTTTATAAGAAAATATAACGAATTTTTAATGTTTAATAATATGTGTACCTTAAGGGTCATTTTATGCCATACTTTTCGGACGCCTGCAGTGTCCAAAGTGTGTTATAATCGCCTTATAGGTTCTCGACCAGATGTCTGGGTGCAAAGTTTCGCCTCTGGACTGATAAAGGTTTCCCTTGTTGTTTTTTTCTGTTTCTGTCTTGGATTCCGAGTCTTATCAGCCATACAAACGGTTGAGGGATGCGCTCCATTGGCCTCTCCAGACAGGGAATGTGGGTGAAGTGGGTCGGTCTGTTCGGTGGCTGGACATTTGTGCCACAAATACAGTGGGGGGCATGACAAAAGTGGCAGAACAAAAGAGGATTAAATAAATGCTCAATACTGCAAAAAAATGTGTTCATTTCTACAGACAAGAGGTACAAAAAATATCAAATATCAGGCTTAAAACATAAGGCTCAAATCAAAACAAATAGAATGTAATAAGTGTTTAAATACCCCATTTTCCGGGAGAAACCCTCTGATAAAAACCTGTTCTGACATACTAATTGATATTAAAGGTACACCTTTTCAAATAAACCGACTGAGAACATTCTCATGCAACACTCAATTAGATTTGTTTTTTTTTTTTTAAACGAGTTTTAGACAATATTTTTCACATTGCATGGGGAAAACACATATGAACTTTTAATATGGCTAAAAATCAAAAGCATGTTTACATTTTTAAATGGGGAAATTCTAAAATTAAATATGCAATTCTAACAAACCGGTTTAATATCTAATAAAGTCAGTTTACATTGCAGGTGGTTATGTTTAAGGTCAAATATGCAGGAAGTCATAAGCAACTATTTAAATCAAGTGGGAAAATTTAAATATTAGGAATTAACTTACTGTTTAGCTTTATAAAAAAATGTTGAAAAATGTGAGTCTAATGAAATTGACTTTATAAACTAACCCCACATTAAAATATAACCCTTTTAAAGCGCATTTTAGTTTCTATATCGCCAACTTTTAAGTACATCTGATGGTCTAAGTCGTATGGCTTTATTTTAATTGCACTTTTGAGTGTTTATTTTCAGAGGCTGATAAGAAGGCTTCAATTCAAAACATAGCAGATAAAGTAATAATTTCAGACCCGACGGGCAAATGTATCATTCATAATACATATATAAACAAAAAAATATATTATATTGGGGTAGAAGTAGTGGACTTTGACTAATGATTTCATAAAAATCTTATATACATCTCGAGAAAAGAACAACTTTATATTTTCCGAAACAAAAGCCTTTTAATTGTTATCACTTGACTTGCCGACAAAAGGGCCACCAATTATCTATGTACATATATCCATAAAAATTATAAACACATACTATATATAGTCCGATATATGCATATAGATTACCCAGTAATTATGCAGCAAATTGATGTTATTTGTCGTTTATTGTGGTTTTGGCCTCTGGTTCAGCTTGATTGCATTCTATGAACTTGGAAATTTATTATTCCAAACCCTCGACAATTGCATGTTTCCCAATAAACCTACAATTAAATAATATTTATTCATATATTATTCAAAATAAGACTGATGTATGCACTTTTATTGATTATATTTCAGGCTATCGTTTTGCGGGCAATCATTAAGCTAAACACGTAACATTTTCTCAGGTAGCAACATACAACCCCTATAGAAGCAATATCAATAAATAGAAATAAATTCGAATAAAAACGATGACGCCGGAGAAATCAATTTTAGCCTATGTCAACCATTTGATAGTCAGCAATTTTTCATATTTCTGTAAGTATAAAATTGAAGGAGGTATTTTTATGACTAGATTTTTAAGAGAATAAAGGACCTAATAAGCACTACAATTTTTATAAATTTTCTAGGGGATGAGATTGATGGCTATCTGTATTATTTGGGTGGCACTTTGGGTACCATCACCCTTAGCAGCCTGGCAGCCAGTGTGGCCTACTACTTTGCAACTCGACCTGTGCCGGAACAACCATTAGTGCCTCTGGAAAACCAATCCCCATTGCTAGAGGTAAATCGAAAAGCATATAGGAATGATCACATTAATTACATCATCAATTAGTCAATCAGGAATTGTTTGTCTTGAATTATCTGTTTTATTTCGGTGGTCAGGTCTCAGGTATGTTCTATTTAAGCATATCCCCTGATGGCATATGGGCCAAAAAAATAAAACCAAAACCGAAGAAAAATCCTTTGATGTGCCAGAAAACCGTGTGCACATGTCCACAATCACGTTGAGTGCGATTACGATGAGGAGATATCCCAAAAGATACTGATTCTGGTTCGTTGTTGTCGTCACATGATTTTCTCGCATTTTCACCATTTCGATTTCCATTTTCGCCTTGTCGGCCTTTGTTCTTGTTTCTTGGTAGTAGTATGTAGTAGTCTTGGCCTGCCAACAATGACGTGTTCGCCACCGTGGTGCAAAAATGATCAAAAATAGATCAGGCCAGAATCCCACGCTCTAATTGAATGATTCTACAAGAGCTAAAAACTATGTACTGCTCTTGCCAAGACTGCAACATTCTCGCTGATAAATTATCAAATGACAGCGGCACGACAATAATAAATCTTGTCATGGCTCAATTGGCATTTTCCCCTAATTAGTCGCCTGTTCTCTCAATTTCGATTTATGCAAAAATTTGCGAAAAAAAAACCACACCCCCACCGCTGAACAATTGTCAGTGGCATTTCCTATATCTGACACTAGCCCGGCATTTATTTGGCCAAAAATTCTTTCAGCTGCAAGGAACTGTTCCTTTTGTGTATGGATATCGTGTAAATAAACAAATATTGACAAAATACCATATTTCCACTGATATTTGAAAGGCTAAAATAGCAAACAAAAATGTAGGGAGGGGTTAAGGGTTGATGTCATCAAGGATACTTCGTTGGTTAATTATATTTATTAATCATAAATGGGGCTTAGTTGGAATTTAAAGGTGTGTTTTATAAAAAAAAATAAGTTATAATTATCATTGCTCACTTTTGGGGGTATTTAAAGTATTTCTAATTGACTAGTCTCTTTAAAAATGTAAAAGCCGAATCCCCTTTTTACTCTCTCTCTTAGCCATCTCGCAAAATTTTTCAAAAACCTGAATAAACCAATTCTCAATAAAAATAATAAACAATGAAAACAAAACAATAAGGAAATGTCAAACTTTTGACATGACAGGGACAACCTGTCTGCTTATGACCGGGTAGATATGTAAAAATGAAAATAATGTGCATTCTGAACTGCATAATTTCGAATGCTAGTCGCATTGTGTGTTTGTTTAGACTGGTCTAGCGACTGCAACTGCAAATGCACCAACAAGCATTTGGCACACTCTTGACCAAATGCGTTTATAGACGTTTTTTCAATAGACTACTCGCCCGAACACTAAAGCGGCTAATGAGTGCAAATGGAAGTGGAAATGACACGACAAATATGTGTGAGGTAGAATTGGCATGTGCCAATTTTTAATTTATGCTTGAAATTATTTAATACAATATTCATAACGAAATAAACATATTCAGCAATTTGTTTTGGGATAATTCATCATAAAATCAAGGGAAATTTCATCATAATACCAATCCATTACTATCTTTTTGGTTAAAAATCAAAAAGTAAACAAAAGTTGTCTATTTTTAGTTTAACCAAAAAGTGGGCGTGGTTCTCCGTTATAGGCCATAAATCATGTTGGTAATTAAAGAGTTGAAAATGGTCTGTCAGTACCATTACTACCTCAGTTCTGCACTTTGTAGCCCCGTTTTTTTTTTGTATTTGTTAATTATTTAACGTCACATGGCGTTTTCGATCGCGTGTATTAAAAGGAAGAATAGTGGGCGAATACACAGACAGTCCGACAACTTGATCAAGAAAACAAAAAAATAAATATATAGCCAAGAGATCCGTTTAATATCAAAATAAGTAAACCTAAACGAATTAAATTCCTAGGCGAACGCTGCATTCTTTTTCGTAATATCCCCGAAAATCTCCTTCAGTCCTCAGAATCTCTGATTCTCTGGTCTTCTCAGTTTCTCTCGGAAAAGTCGATTCTTCGGGCCGGCCAAAATCATTTTTAGCCACGACCAATATTTTACTTTTGCCATTCAGTTCGAAATTCAACATCGTGTCGCGCAGATCGTGGCGAGCTCAAAAATCTATAGAATAATTTTTAAATTGAAAAAAGTCTCAAAAAAAAAAAAAGAAAAACGAGCAAAAGTCACACCAACATAATGTACATATCGCTTATATATATCTTTGAAACAACCGTATTTTTTATAAATAATAGCTCGTGTATACTAAACAACCGAAAAATAAAGAGCGAAAAAAACGCACGACAATTTGCAACAAATTGACAAAAATACAAGCGTTTAATCTCATTACGTAAAGCACAAGACTCAAAAATAAAACAAGTTTTTTTCAAAAAAGTGAACCCGAAAATAACGAAAATATATTTGAAAATCTTCTCATGGAGAATCGATTTGCCAAAAGTGTCAAAGTTCCGCCACCGCCGTCGCCGTTGCCTGGGCCATGTGAACTCATTCCCTCAAGTTCAAGTTCACCAAAGTTTCTATGCATAAAACATCTAAGGAAAAGCCAACAAGCCGTGGGCCAAAAAAACAAACATAAAATATACATATTCATAATTTTAACATAAAATTTGTTTCCAATTTAATTTGATGAATGTTTGCCTTTGAATGAGTCTGGTTTTCTATTGTAAACAGCTTAACCTGAGTCGATATTTACGATGCCTTACCACTTTGCTATAAAATTTTATAGTTGTTTATATTTAGAAAGAAAGCAAAGGATTTGCTATTTTCTCAATCAGCCACAAAAATCTCAGGCCATGTGGTCTAAGAATTGTAAGGAATTTCGTACTTGTTCCAAAACTCATTATTTTGTAATGCTATTTAATAGATCTAGTATCTAGCAAAGAAATATGCCAGAACTCTGTGCTTTTATTTCTTCAAATCTCAAATAACCAAATAAATCAAGAATCATAATAAATGTCAAAGAATTATAAAGTTGAGTTATTAGTTTATATTATATATTCCCAGGGACATTGGTACATTATATAGAAAAGTTTAGACATATATGTATACCCAAACAATAGGCATTTTGAAAAGAAGCTGTTTGCACCTGGACAAAATAATTAAAAAATGTTCCCCAACGACCTTCAAATTCTTGCATATTTCTTTTGTTTTTTTGCTGAAAATATGCTGCCAAAGTTATGTTATGTTTAAGATTCTGATCCATTGTTTCATTCATTTATTTCTCTTGATTTTAATGGCCACCACAATTACCATAACTCAAAGATGAATTGCTCATTGAAGAAAATGTTTGCACTCTGCCAATTGCCTCGAGGCATCCCAATGAGGCCCGAAACGCGTTTCCCCCATGACTCAGTACTTGATCATCACTTGGGGATTATTTCTTTTTTTTATATTTTGCACAAAAAAACTTATTTTATTTTAGTATGTGTGAGAAATTGTTGTTATATTTTGCTCTTTTTTTTTTTTTTTTCGTGTTATGCGGCCACACACACGGTTCTCATAGATAACAACAGAGTGGAACGTTTTTACCCCCAAACGAACTATTTTTAAATTAATTTGGGGCAGGCCAAGCCAAAGCAACAGACGACGCCTTGTCGATATTGTTGGCTATGTTCTCTTGACTTATTCTTTTTCCCCTTATTCTTTTCTTTACGCCTTTACATACATATCTCGGCCGTCCTGCATCTGCCAATATTGAATAATTATAAACAAAATTAAATTGGCTGCAATCGACCGGAAAATATTTAAACGGACAGCCAGGCGTCATAATTATGCTTTGCTTTTCGACTTTTGGCTTGGTCTTTGATGCAAATTTCGAATTATGAATTTTTTAAATATTTTTAGAGAATTTAAAGTAAACGTTAATGGGTTTCTAAGTGGCTTCGGATATCATAAATGTAATAGTCTTTGAGGTATAAAATCTATTTTTTTGGTTTGGTTTTGGTTTGGTTTTTATTTCCAAATTAATAATTTTAATACGTTTTTCTTAATATCCAAATACTAAAATTCAAATCTTATGTAAACATTTTCCATTTGTTTGTTCTAATTATCTCTGTAAAGTTTCAAAACGAAGGCATGTTTTTAATTAGCCTTTTATCGGTTATGAAATACACTTAACAGGCGGTATAAATATTTCATTGAGGCGAATCGAACGGGTGACTTCCCCGGCAACGACAATGGCCAACCATGAATGCAAATTGGCTAATAAAATGTGCTTAAAATCGGTTTTGTGCAAGTGTTTCTCTGCCTTTTTATAGTAGCTTGGAAAATGTGCATATTAAATGCCAGATGAAATCTGAACGATCCATAAAGGAAAACTAAATCCAACAGAGTGTTAAATAATCTTTACTAAAAAGTAAACATAACAAGGATATACGAGCTAAAAGGAAATCATGTCTTGTTGCGGTCAAATAACCAGTATACGAGTACCCATCGAACTTAGCAATCAGAGCGATGTGCTCAAGGTAACTTTACATAAAAAAATAAAATATTAATGGCACCGATAACATCAACTTAACTAAACAATAACTAATATATACTTTCGCTTTTTTGTTACTTTATTTCTCACACATTTACTGAGAGTAGATCATATATGATCATCGATTAGATATCCACAAGAGGGTAGGCCCCATGTGCCCTTCGGGGTATGCTCTAAATATAATTAACAATTTCGTACTTTCCAACTTTCGTGCGTCATCCTCGAAATATACAATAAACAACATTTAATTGGAAAGCACTCTAATCTGTGGAAAACAATTATTTATGAAAATACATTTGCATTTTGCTCATTAAATACAGCCAGCAAAAATAAACAAACTAACTCTTATGATCCTTCCCCTGGCCCTTCCCGATTCCAGAGTGTATTTTCATATTCGTTCTTGTACATCAACACTTTTGGCCATTGCGGGATTTTCATTCACAGCTGTTAGCCATAAAGGAAGTGCTCTATATATTCCCACATACAATATTGAATTAATCCAATGGATGATTCCCCATGGAACTTACTTTTTGGCGCTATGAAAGAAATTCCGCCGATTGATGGGTTTATGTCTCTGGCCTCAAAACAAACCATATATCATGCTGTTCGGATTTATAAATTCGAAATGTTATTGATTTTAATTTAATAATAGGGTGTGATTTATTCCTTGGACCAAACCAGAAATAAACACATCAAGTGAAACGGGTTGTTTTAATGGCTTATATGTAGAATCGTAAGATCTTAAGAGAAAACAAAGACTTTTTATTGAAGAACATTTACATAGAAAAGCAACTAAATATTTAAGTGTTTGCAATCATACTTTAGTTCTTTATGGTTGTATCCGTGGGGTTTCAAACTAGGAGAATTATTTTAAACTGTAATAATTCGGTTATCCCAATATTCAAATTCAAGACAAACCATTCCCAATAGCTATGTATATTATTGTTAAACCTATATCCTTGCTGTTTTAAATTCCAAAACCTTGTTTCTGTATCCCAAATTCTATCGCAATATCTGTCACTCATTGCATGTCCTCGATTTCTCTCTGTTTCTTTTGGGGTCACCTCACTCGCATTGCAGGGTCCAGAACAAATACACGTCTCCAAGTTCTACAAGGAGTCCAAGAATGGAAAATTCGTATCCTACATCACAGAGAATGTCCGCACTTTGTATCAGACGTTCCGTGAAGGTGCCTATGCCTCCAATAATGGACCATGTCTGGGATGGCGTGAAACCCTAACATCTCCATATCAGGTAAGATTTTAGATCATAAACCTAAATTCAAAAGTACTCTACATAAATATATATTTTTATTAGGGAAGTAGGGTTTCAAAACATAAATGAATTAAAGAGCAATTTCCTGAGAGCAATAGAATCTTAAAATAGTTCTATTTTAAAAAAGAAAACATCAACGAAATGATTTGATTTTTCCTTTCCTTTCATGGTTAATAGTATTATTAAATGTTATATTTATTTTCCCCCCAACTTTAGTGGATCAACTATGACGAAGCCCTGCTGCGAGCCAAGAACTTTGGCGCCGGAATGCTGGCCCTCGGCGCCCGACCCAAACAGTTGATTGGCATCTACTCGCAAAACCGGCCAGAATGGATCCTGTACGAGCAGGGCTGCTACTCTTTCTCCCTGGTGGTGGTTCCACTGTACGACACCCTGGGACCTGATGCTTGTGCCTTCATTATTCGCCAGACGGAGATGTCTATTGTGGTGGTGGAGGATGATGGCAAGGCGGCCATGCTTCTGGAGAAGGCGCCGCGCAGCCTGAAGATCATTGTGGCCATAAAGCCCATCCGCCAGACGACTCTGGAGCGGGCTCGGAGTCGGGGCATACAGATCTTCTCCTTCATCGATGTGGAGAAGCTGGGAGCCAAGGGGAATCACCCGGAAGTACCGCCCACGACGGAGGATCTGTGTACGGTGTGCTATACGTCCGGTACGACGGGTAATCCCAAGGGCGTGATGCTCACCCACGGCAACGTGGTGGCCGGAGTCTGTTCTGTGATCCTTCAGATGGGTGACCATCGTATCCGGGCCGGTGATGTCATGGTTTCCTTCCTGCCCCTGGCCCACATGTTCGAGCGGTGCTGTGAGAACGGCATGTACTACGTGGGCGGTTGTGTGGGCTTCTATTCGGGCGACATCAAGGAGCTGACCAACGACCTGAAGATGCTGAAGCCCACGGTTATGCCGGCAGTGCCTCGTCTACTGAATCGCGTCTACGACAAGATCCAGAATGACATTTCCGCTTCCGGTTTGAAGCGGGGTCTCTTCAACATGGCGATGCGGGCCAAGGAAAAGGAAATAGCCCGTGGTGTCCTGAGGCGAAATGGATGCTGGGACAAGTTGGTCTTCAAAAAGGTGCATCAGGCCTTTGGTGGTAACCTGCGACTCATGGTCGTGGGCTCGGCTCCCTTGGCCGGAAATGTTTTAACCTTTATGCGCTGTGCTTTGGGTTGCTTGGTCCTGGAAGGATACGGTCAAACGGAGTGTACCGGGGCCATAACCCTCACCGTTCAGGGTGATCATGTGCCCAATCATGTGGGTCCACCCGTGTCCTGTAATGCTGTGAAACTGGTGGATGTGCCGGAGATGGAGTACTTTGCCAATCAAAATACAGGCGAGGTGTGTGTGCGAGGATCAAATGTGTTCCATGGGTAAGGAAGTCTATACAAATCTATAAAAATTGTATGTCTGAGAAATGTTTTCAATTCTAGTTACTATAAGGATCCGGAGAAGACGGCGGAAGCCATTGATTCCGAGGGCTGGCATCATACTGGGGATGTGGGCATGTGGCTTCCGAATGGAACTCTGCGGATCATTGATCGCCGCAAACACATCTTCAAGCTCAGCCAGGGCGAGTATATAGTTCCCGAGAAAATCGAGAATATCTATACTCTCAGCCAATATGTTAACCAAGTATATGTTTATGGAGAGAGCTTAAAGGTGAGTCTTTAATTATAAAAATTTTAATATAATATTAAAATTTTTTTGAATTTTTTACAGAGCTGCATTATCGCTGTTGTTGTACCTGATGTCGATGTACTGAAGCAATGGGCCACGGAAAACAATGTTCGCGGCACACTCTCCGTCCTGTGCAATAATAAGAATGTCAAGGAACTGATCATGAACGACATGCTGAACTGGGGTAAACAGAGCGGACTCAAGTCATTCGAACAGGTGAGATTTATATTATTTTTAAGAAAGAAAGTAACTAATTATTTGGCTACCTTCCAGGTAAAAGATGTCTATCTGCATCCGGATCCCTTCTCGGTGCAAAATGGTTTACTTACGCCCACATTCAAAGCCAAGAGGCCGCAGTTGAAGAGCTACTTTAAGCCTCAGCTAGAGGATATGTATAAACACCTGGATTAAAGCAATAACTATATAGAAATCAACAACGAATCAAACTCAAGAATAACAAGTAAAAGGGGAAAGCATTCAAGGACTTACAGATATGCCTATACCATATTAAACTGATGATAACAAAGACTACAGATATACAGATGATGAAAGCGAACTGGAAGAAATAACAGTCTAATTTTGTAGTTTCGTCAATTCTTAGCCATTAAGAAAAGCGCAAGATAAAGTACACCAGACACAGATTAAAAAATATACACACTACTTTCAAAAACTGACATGAAAACACACTCTTTGACAGCCGCATTTTTTATATAATTTAATCGAAAAGCGACCCCTAACCAATATGTTAAAAATTATATATTACCCTTCCACACATACGATCTAGTTCAACGTGATTAGAACACGATTGATGCGTAGTCTGAACCAAAACATATATAACTAACATATTGAGCAAATTGAATTAAACGAAAGCTTTAATTAACTATCTTATACTACATCGGCGTTAGTTGGAAAAGGAACTTTTAAAATTATATTAGGCACAAACACTATGAGAATTATGATCAACGCAAGTGCTGAGGAATTTATTGAAAATAAAATGAAAGGAAACTAAACTAAAAAGCAGATCTAACTTAAAAATAGTAAATTTATAAAACAGATCCACTTCTTTGGACTGCACAGTCTGCCTTACAAAAACCAAAATTAAAAAAACTAAAAAATGATCAAAAAATGCTAGAAAACTTTTTCTTATTAAGTGCTAAAAGGTAATAAAGCATTACAGTAAAACTATAAACTAATTTCCTTATGTAGATATAAAAAAAGATAATTCAAATTATGATTTGAAATAAAAATAACTCAAAATTAACAAAACTGGTTTTTATTTTTTCAAAAGTTTTTTTTTCTGTTTTGGTGTTTTTTTTCTAAGTTTGGCGTTGCCATATCCAAGCAACTTTCAAACATTTCTGTCTTTTAGAGTTGCCTAACCTCCCCGACTACATAGACTTCGAATAAAAAATCATTTTTTTACAATTTCTATCGAATCGCTTTAACTTTTAATACAAACTTTTCATCTTAAAGGCGCATTCAGTGTATTTTAATTATAATGACATTCAATTCAGCTTAAATCGTTTAGTGGCTACGGCTCTTGGAATGCAAGACAAGAAAATCATTTGAAACAAAATTTTAAAAATCATTTCAGACTTTAGTGAGTTATCTTGTAGTTTTATCGTAGTTATGATTTGCATTATGCTCTAATTAAAATGTACAAATATGTTTAGTCGTTTCTCGAGGTAGGGTCTTAGCTAAATGTTAATCAAGTGTGTATCCATCGATATTAGACTTAAATTCACTAAACTCGTTTCTTTAACTACGCGTGGATCACAGCTCGCCGTGCTTGGGTTCATGAGGCGGCGTTGAGGCAGTGGTGACGACCTGATCGTTGGATGAATGATACTCATCGTCCGTCGACTCCCGACCGTGGGAGTTCTCGTGATCCTCGACTCGAGCCAACAGGGTCTTTAGTTCCGCATCGTAGTCCTTCCACTCGGGCACAATCCTCTGGGCGGCCGTGAGCTTAGCCTCCTTGGTCTGCGGATTGTTGCACAGATCGATTACCTTGGCACTCTTGAAGGAACTGTCGCTGCACCATGTCTGGCACCACAACCAATCATCGGGCAGTGACTTAATGGCCACCTGGTGGATCATATTGTTGGGCAAGTCCTGATCCAAATTGGACAAACTGTTTGGATCCTGGCTGAGGGCCTGGTATTGGCCACGCAGCCTGTCGCCAGCTGCAATCTTGCGGAATCGCTTCAAGTCCACCACGTACAGGGCCGATATGTGATACCTTCGGCCCATCAAGTGACTGCGCCAGTATCCCTGCTTCCAGAACCTGAAGCCCTCCATCTCCTTGCGCGAATCACAGAAGGGTGTGTAGGCATAGGGAGCTCCACCGAGATCCAGGTCATACAGCTCCTTGATATCCGTTCGAACAATCGCATCGGCATCCACAAAAATGATTTTTCTGACATTCAGCGGGAAGAGCACGTCCAGGAAGAGAATCTTGTATCCCCAAATAGTTCGCTGCTTCTCCGTCTGCTGGTGCAGCCATCGTGGCCATTTGTACTGGACCAGTTCATACTGGAAGTTGTATTCACTGGCCATGTGGGGCAGGAAATCGGTGAACTGAGGGGAGAGATAGTTCTTCAAGAACCAAAACTTCACCGGGGATTTCGTGTGTTTCAGCAGGGAGACCATCATAATCCTCAAGAGACGCTCATACAGATGGCCCGATGCCACTGAGAAGATGTTTATGGTTTCCGTATCCTCGTCGGTGGCTGCCTGGTTGCTATTGGATCCACCAAAACTGCTGGCAATGCTGTTCCAGATTCCCGACTGCCCTGCCTGTTCGTTGTCATCCGAAAGGAGTTCCGCCTGCTGCATTCCCGGTTTCTTAGAAACCCGTAACTTGATCACATGAGAGCGCAGCGAGGTGATCAAAGCCTGAACATCATTGGTTCCCGCGGCGTGATGAGTGTTGGTGCCTTCCACATGGCTTATGCTATAGATATCTGTGGATTTTCCTTCACGCAATCGCAGCGACCAGGCTCCTGGGTTGGCCTTCAGTTGGAAGTAGCCCAGATTGGCCATCACAATGGTGTCTACTAGGGTGGGCTGGCTCTGAGTGCCCAACACCAACTGCAAGCCCCTGGGGGGAGCTCCACTGGAGGCGTCAAAGCAGTGGCCTTCCAGCAATAGATATTCCAGATCGAACTCGCTGTGCACGGGTCCACCAATATCGGTTAGTTTAATGTTATCCAGATCGTAAACGGCACGTACTGCTTCCACAAGCCAGTTCTCTGGAACCTGGAGCTGTTGTGTCAGCAAAGGATTGGCCGGCAGTCCACTGAATTTGGCCAGAGGTCCCTCAGACCTTCCACCATTAGCCTCGAACTGAACCTCTGGTTCAACTACGTATCTGTAGAAGTTCTTCACCGGCATATCGCTGTGCTGGGGCACAGGAATGAGGTAGAGATTCAACTGGCAGTTGAGCACCTGTCGCAGCAGGATTAAAATCGGTGTCAGCTTCTGGGCTGCTCGGGAAGCGGGATCCAAAACGGCAACTATATCAAAGTGTGGCAGTTTCTCCTGTTTTGGAGGCAGCTTGACCACCGAATGATCAGACTTTAGGTCAGTGGGCAGCTTGAAACGTGTCTTGGTCTGCCTGGGCAGCAAGCTGGCGTAGAGCTTAAGCAAGGTATCGCTGGTGAACTGCTCGCTGACATCTTGAGCGGACTCCTTAAGGACCTGACGCACCTTGTCGCCATACTGCAGGGAGCTGAATCTGGCCAACAAGGCAAAATCAGCGCTATCAAAGCTTTCATCGGAGGTGAGAGGGCCATAAAGACGCCCATTTCCAATTACCAGACGCTGGGATTTATTCAAACCCAAAACGCGCTGAGCATAAACCCTAAGCATCTTCAGATGGAGCTCAGTGGAGCCAAGGATGTCCTCCAGTTGCAATGGTATTTCAATCTTCTCCTTTGGCTTCTTCAACCACTTGAGAACCTGCTCAGTGGCCTGAGTCGGTGGCAGCGATTGCATAGCAGCCCAAACCAAGCGATTCAGATTCTTCTTATCCGCTCCGGAACTTTCGGTATTGGGAATAAAGGCCAGGCGAACACTCTCGCCACTCTGCACATATTCCAAAGCATGGGTAAGCAGAGATCTGCCCTGCTCCTCGTTTAAGTCGGCAAACACCCACAGAGTTAGGAATTGCAGCGATGAACGTCCAATCTTTTCCGTGGATTTCTTTCCGCCAAAGTACTTGAGATTCTCCATTAAGGTGGCGGTCATGTCGCGGTTGGAAAGCTTATTTAAAGCAGCCACATTTCCCAGATTGGTGTAGGCCACGCCATTAATATCCAGATACTTGACATCATCCTGACTGAGAATCCTTTGGTTGAGGCGAGGCATGACATGCGGCTGATTCATTAGGTAGTCGATGGCCACGTCGTTATCCGTCATATCGCCCTTGTAAACGGCTTTCTGCAGATTGGAGGTGTGACTCATAATCTCCGTGAAAATAGCCTCCTCAAAGTCGCTATCGGCTGTCACAATATTCGATGGCATGGGGACACCATTCATCAGGGCTTGTGGTTGGCCCTTATCCGGGAATCCAAGCCTCTGGATGAACTCGGCCGCCAATTCCCTGCCATAATCGTAGGTGCCATCCTCGTCCAAAAACTCCTCAGCCTTGGAAAAGGATAGAGTTGAGAACTCCTTTGCCAGCTGCTTTACGATGTCCTTCTTCTTCACCACCTTGGTCTCGCCAACGGCGGCATAAATGTCTGTGAGGAAACTCAGCGCGGCCCGGGCGTCCTTCTTTTGACTCACATAGTTGAAGGCGCAGGTAATGGCAATGTAGTCCTCCAGATTATCCTTGTTAGCATCCCGGGCATCAAAAACTATACCCAGGCGGATGGGAGCCTGATGGATAACGAATGATTCGGACAGCTTTATCACACTCCTAGCCAGGGGCTGCAGGACATCAACAACCAACACCAAGTTGAACACGTTCTTTCTGATATTTCGCAACATTCCGGGGAATGTGGGACGCAGGAGATCCATCACAGATGCAGGCCAACGCCGGTATTGGGCGTCGTTTTCAATATCATTGATCCATTGAACAGCTGTATCGCGAATATCGATGGCGAACTCCTTTTTGCTGGACGCGGTGAGATCTAAAGCTAGTAGTGAACTGGCCAGATTTCCTCGGACACTGTTGCTGTGCAAACTTTCCAAAACACGCATCTCCGAGCGCAGAGTTTCTACCAGGGAGTACAAATCCATGGTGTCGGCATCAAAGAAGAGTCCGTTTATGAAAAGGGCTCCATCTGGCGGCGCCACATTCAAACTTCTGCCAAAAACATCCGTATTATGCTTGACCTCTGCCCTTAAAGCATCCGTTACTTTGTGAGCCAAAAGAGTGCGGGCCAACATGGGGAAATTATGGGCGATGTACTGCAGAATCTGTAGCGTTTCGTCTCCCTGGATTTCCGCCACTGCTGCGGCAGCTTGCAGACCCAGATCCTGGAACTCCCATGCTTTCAGCTGGGCGATTTCATCGTTGCCCTGCAAAAGTCGTTGACGCAGTTGATCCAAAGCCCTTTTCAGTGCGGGGTGCTTCTGCTTCAGGATTTTAAAATCGAAGCCTTGGACATCTGACTCATTTGACAGATCATCAGAGTCGTCAGAAGAGGCCCCCGCCTCTGGTTTTGGTGCATCGTCCTGGCTCTTATACTCTGTGGATTTCAAGTGCAGTTCCACGCCGTAACCTGAAAGCCTCACAGGACGAGTGTCTTTGCTAGCCAACTGATGCCGCAAGATATAACGTATCTTTCCGCTGTTAGCCTCCTTTTCCAACAGCTTGTGATAAGTACGGAATTGAGAGCTTCCCAGATCGCCGTATAGAACCACAGTGCGGGTGTTGTTCTCGCTGCCGGGGAAGATATGATCGAAGCTATAGGTTACCACCGGGGCATCCAGGCTTTCCTTGGCCAGTGGGAGTCCCAATTTTTTCTGCAACTCCGCGTAACTGCAGGCCAGCTCGGTACCAACCTGGGCAAAAGTGGAACCGTCACAGGCGCCTCCGCTTCTCAACTCTTGGGCCAATTGAAAGTGCGTCTGGATACGCGGCGTTAAGCTGTGCGTGGAGACCACCAACTTAAGTAGAGGTAGTTGTGGCGAGCTCACGTGGCTCTTGACCAACTCCAAGGCAGCGTTGTACTGCTGCGACTCCGTATCTATAAGGAATGAGGGTTAATTATTTTTAGGGGAAAGTAAGATAGGGGATAAAGCATTGAATGTTGCTTAATTACTAAAAATAAAATTTTCTTGGAAAATAGTGATTATTTATTTAATTAAAAGCAAGGATTAAGTTAAACTATAATTTGTAGTTAGCAAATAAGCAACTGCACAATGTGATTCCCCTCTCCTATTCACAAACCATATTCGTTCAGAGCCGTGTCCAGTTTGGTGACTCCCTGGACATAGTCCCAGAAGAGTCCTGCCTGTTCGTCGGCCAGATACTCGGCAACCTCCAGATAAAGTGGAGTCTGCGTCCACTTGGCATTGATTAGAGTGGTGATAGGGTAGCTCTTGCTCGATTCCGCAGAAATCGGCGAAAATAGTGCCAAGAGCACCACAGACACACACAACGCCGCTGCACGTAACATGGTTTCCTCTTGTTTTCTAGGTGTTTTTCGACACGCACATAACGGGAAAGCTAACACCCAAGATCCCTAAGCTTCACTGGCTCACTATTTGCAATTTTCACCAGTTTTCAGCTGGCTTTGGACCACTTTTTTTAATTAAATTTAGAACTGATGTGGCGTTTAACCGGCTGTCGCGTAATGGGCCCAAAGTTCTTGCTAAAAACTATCGATACCTAAAAATACCAAAATTGGATACTTTTTAAATATTCTAGTATTTTTTGAGCTTGGATTAAAAACTTTAAAAATTTAAGAATAAAATTTAATTGATCTAAAATTAATGGATATTATCTAAAAAGTTCTGGCTATTCCTACGAAATTTGTTAAAAATGCATGGAAGGACAAAATGGCCCGCAGCGATGGCTATATCTTAGCCAGTTCCCATCGGATTCCCGAAAGGAACACCTTAAACATTTTGTAGGTCGATTCTCCATCATTCAAAAAATGTGAAAACTGCATGGAAGGAAAAAGGGCCTACAGCGATGGCTATATCTCGGTCAGTTCCCATTCGATTCATGAGCGGAATACCTTAAAAGATTTGTAGATCGATTCTCTTCCATTCAGTATCAAAGTCTAAGAAAAAAATAATTTTTAGATTTTTTCGACATTTTTCTGGGGGATCCCCTTCAAAAATTGTGAAAACTCCATGAAAGGACAAAATGGGTCACAGCGATGGCTATATCTCGGTTAGCTCCCATTCGATTCATGAGCAGAATACCTTAAAAGATTTGTAGATCGATTCTCTTCCATTCAGTATCAAAATCTAAAAACAAAATATTTTTTAGATTTTTTCGACATTTTTCTGGGGGATCCTCTTCATAAATTATGAAAACAGCATGGAAGGACAAAATGGCCTACACCGATGTCTATATATCGGTCAGTTCCCATCCGATCTATGAGCCGAATACCTTAAACGATTTGTAGATCGATTCTCCACGATTCTGCATAAAAATCTAACAAAAATACAAAATCAAAAAAATCTAACAAACAAAAAATCTAACAAAATATTTTGTATATTATTTCACCATTTTTCTGGGGGATCCCAGGACGAAAACCATTTTTTTATTTATAAATCTAGGAATTATATTTAAAAACGTACTAACGTAACAGTATTAGGTAAAATAACTTGGTTCTCGTAGCTTAAAATCCAGCAACTTTTTTTTAAATTTTAAAACCGTTGTTTATCTAACATCGATATTTAAATACCAACTTTTTTTTTGTTTCGAATTACCTTTGCCAAGCTGTAGGCACTCTAATCCGATTGTTTACAAAAATTTCAGCGCGAAATATTGCTAATAATTGTTTATATAAATTCGCCAATGAAATACACTTTAGAAGGCAACAATGCAAGAGGTTTGTTAAAATATAAAAATATCGTGCTTATATTAAAGAATGCTGCTTATTTCAGTCATTGCCAAAGCCGTCCAATCCCTTTCAAAGGTGGGAAAGGAAATGTTTATTGAAATTGACCAACAGGGATTACAAATGAGGGCCATAAATGCCACCCAATCGGCGGTTGGTAGTATTTTCTTTAAACGTTCCATGTTTGAGATATTCGACATGCCGCCCAACTCGGATTTCTATTGTAAAATATCCATGAAAGGATGTTTGGCAGTTTTCCGAAATATGAATGAGGTATGAAAAGTATTTCCAGGAAATTTCAGGCTTATTAACAAATATTTTAGGTTGAATACTGTGAACTTAACGTAATTGACGATCAAACCAACCTGAAGGTGAATCTGCGCTGCAAGTTGGAGACAACAAAAGAGGCCACTATATCCATTATAGATGACCAAAACATCAACACCAACATTGACACGGATCCCAGACCAAATGTGTAGGTTTAATATGCTTATGCCTAACTTTAATTAGTATTACCACTTATATTCTTTCAGAATTCGTGGTGAACACAAACTGTTTACTGATATTTCGAATAACTTTAACACCACAGAGGAAGAACTAACGCTGGAGGCCAACTCCCGCAGTTTAGTCGCAAAGAACTATATAGAAGGCGCCAGAGTTAACGACAAATTTATGAGAACCCAACTGAAACTAAAGCCCAGTGAATTCGATCAATACCAAGTGACGAATGAAACAATCATAACATTTTGTATCAAGGAACTACGCGCCTTTCTCCTCTTCGCAGAGTGTTTGAATGCCTCGCTTACTTTGGAGTTTGACGATGCGGGAAGACCTCTTTTAATAAAGATTAAAAAGCATGGCGAGATTGAGTGCTTGTTGATCATGTCCACTCTCTCGCCGGAGGATGTGAGTTTCTCGGAGGACTACTGTCAAAGGGATTTGACTGTTCGAGATCAGGATGTACCGGTAGAAGCTTCAAAGAAAAAGAGTAAAAATCCAGAACCAACGCCAAAAACAAACAAGCGAAAGAGCAGCCAACCAGAACCGGCTAGATCGCAACCAAAACGAAGATTGGCCGAGAGTGACCACGAAACGAGTATAGAGACACCGCTGTTTCAGTTCCGAAACTCAGAGGCGGCGTCTGTGCAGCAGCCCAGGAATTTGGCTGAAGTAGATACTGTGGATTTAATTGAGTGTGAGGCTGATGAGGAAGCTCTAATGCTGGCCGCCGCAGATGCAGCTCTGGAGGCCACCTTAGCACCCAATGCGCCCCAAGTTCCTAACAGTACAGAGGTTTGCTTCTACAACTCCGATGATCCGCCGAACACACAGATGCCTCAGCTGCCGGCCTCATCCTCTGATGATGATGAAACCATTCCACAGTCTCCACAACGCCAGACCAGAGTGCGAGCGATATTCTCCAGGTGTTTTCAAAGCACATACGTTCCCCGGGAGCCATCGCCGAATAGTCAGGCCTTTGCGCCCAATTCTGATACAGAGGATTAGCCTAGATTTGATCGTTTATTTGTAAAAAAAAATTAATTTCAAAATCAACTAGCTTTCTGGATATTTATGTGTGGAAGAAAGCTGCTGGTCATGACAGAAGCTACCCTCGTTTGAAGTTCCTGAGCATTTTTCTGAGCTTGCTGTAATGATGTATGGGCCGATTGGAGATTGATCTGGGATTTGATGAGCATTTGATCCGTGGTGACCAGTTGCTTGGAGGCACTCAGTACAAAGCTTCGGGTGAAGGCGGTGAGAGACCTCCAAATGGCTATATTGTTTTCAACTAAAAAACTATTCATTTAGAAATGCTGCAGTAGGCAGTAATTGTTCAGTATTTTACTCAGTTTACGCTGGAGGAGATTATTCCTGTAAATCGAGGCCATGCTGTTGACCTGGGTGCTTCTGCGCTGTTCGTAGATGTCTTCGTCGTCATCTTCATCTTCTGAAGCCTCCCCTGGAACCTCAGCGGCAAAAATCTATCGAAATATTGCTTTTTAAAATGTTTACTTTTTGAATACAACTCCTTTCTGACCTTGTGCTTGTCCTGCAGCTCTTCATCTGATTCTGAAGCTTCCCCGCTTACCAAATCAGCCATGACAACAGGTATTTCAAAAAATAAAACAATTTCAAGGTAAATAAACAATATAATGTGACCAGATTGGTTTTCAGATCAGCTGTTTTTCATAAGCGTAGCCGAAGGGGGGTTTTAACTTAAAAAAAGAGCCTATAGCCTTTCAAATGTTTTAAAATAGGAGGAAAACTAATATTCTCCAAGTCTTGAAAGTTTTCTTCAAACTAATATAAGTTTAGATTAGAATACTTTCAAAATATGGTCATAAGACTTAAGTTCTTCTGGTTTCTATTTGTAGGTGAATGGAACTTTCTCCACTGATTCATTGAAAAATATTTAAAGCCAGAGTACAATTTTGCTTGACCAAATATCAATTAATTAAATAAATTTATTTAAGACTTTGAACATGAATTAGATAAAAGGTTGATAACTTTTTGTACATGAAGATCGCCTAAGCAACAAACTATAGGCTTTTATAACATTGCACATTTGGTTCTTTACTCAAAGTATTTCTGCAATGCTCCAGTTTCGAACATTCGCTTGATATCCGTGCCGCCACCAATGAATTTTCCATTAATGAAAACACGAGGAACCTGAAATATAAATATTTATAGCACACAGAATAAAATCAGTAAATAGAAAATGATTCATTGTAGACTTTCGGCCATAGTTTTTAGTCATTGATTTTTTTCAGACTAACAAACGTATGAAAAATATAGCCTTTAAAATAACTTTCAGAAACCTTATTTTGCCCTTGGTATCTAAGTAGTTTTGCTTACCGTTCTGGCCCCCGTCAGCTCCCCAAGGACAGACTGGATCTCATTGCCATCCGGATTTCCATCCAACTCAATAATAGTTGCATCCACATTAAGCTTTCGGAAGGGCTGAAATATAAGATTATATGGATAAAATTTGTAATATTCGAAAGATCTTCAATGGAACTTTACCTCCTTAGCCATAGTGCAGTAGGGACAATAGGTCTTGCTGAATATAACAACCTTGTGGCTGGCAATGGTGTTTTCAACAAATTTTGCCTGCTTGGAAGACATGTCTACTATTTTTGGCCTTACTGCGGATCCAACTGCGCCCATAAGCTCAAAGTCAAGGAAGGGGTACGGGAACTTGGGGGGCAGTGTGGACAAAGATGAACTTGTTGATTGGTGATAACGAGGACTTAGCAGGCTGCGTGGAACAAAATTATCTTTTTATTGATGCTTGCCCACCAGTTTCTGTTGTTGTGGTCTTCAGGGTTGCCAAGCCATGCGTTAACTTACCATCGCGTAATCGAAAGCATGACGGCTACAAATTTTTAGTTCAAATTCTATATATTTACATATGTAAGAAAACTTAATGATTTGTTTAGTTAATTAATCTTTAATATATTCTATAGTAAAGTATATTAAGGGGAATAAATTGATTATTGTCCGGCTGTCAAAGGTTACCCCTAAAGTGTTGCCATATCAAAAGAATTTAGTGACAAAATTTCGGAAATATTTTTAAAATTAAAAATTGTATTATAATCCTTTCATATAATAACATTTACTACTTCTTTAGTATATAAAAATTATAAGAATTGAAAAACTACTTTATCTTATAACATAATGCAAAAATGGAGTACATTTAACCTACATACAAAAGAGGTTCTCCCCAAAAATAGTTTTATTAACAAATTACGCTGCATATTGCACTTTAAGGCACAGGTTGGAGTCTTTAATAAAAAGGCCGAGCCTATTATCCATTAAGAAACTGTTCCAAGGCATCGTGGGCCTCCCTCTCGGTGGGCTCAAGGACTACCTCCTCCAGTTTGGTTGCATTTCCGGTGGTTTGAATTTCTGAAATTGAAAAGTTGATGATAAATTTGTATTTCCTGGGTTTAAGGAGTTGAATTACTCGTCAGTTGCCCGTGCTGTTTGTACTCCTCCATGTCGTTCCGAAATGCATCGTCAAAAACAGCCTGTCTTTCTCTCTGCAGTTTTAGTAGCTTTTGCTCGTGGTCCTGGATTCTGGTCTGGTGCTGTGTGGCTATCTTTTGCCTGTACTGCTCCAAATCGTTGAGTTTCTTCTGTTTGTGACGGGATAGCTGGAACTGCTGCTCGAGCATAAACTCCTGCAGCTCGCACTCCTCGCACAGATCCTCCAGCTTCTCCAATTCCACCTCCAATTGGTTGCCCATCTCCTCTAAAGATTGCAGGGTTTTCGTGCTGGCCTTCAGCTGTGATATCAAACTGGGGATCCCCGCCAGACTGCTGTTCAACTCGCTGATGATCTTTCGTTGGTTACTAGCCTTTTGTTGCACTCCAGAGATCTGATTGGCAATAGCCGAGGCCTTCTCCGCATTCTCCTCATTGGCCACATGGATTTTCTGCCAATCATCTTCGTATTTGGCCAGCAAACCACAACCTGCAGCCACGTTTAAATGCGTTGGAATTCCATCTGCCAGTTGGAAAGGGGAACTTAGAGAGAGATTGCTGCTGCGGCTCGAGGACAGACTTTCATTGAGACCCAATGGTGATGTGGGAGTAGTGGCGGCGCTTGATGGTTGACTACCCGAGTTTCCAGAACTGACACGCTGGCGATATTGCTGCTGCAAATTCTCGGAGATGACCAGTCCCTCCTGAATCGCACTGCTCAGCTTCTTTTTAAGGCTTCCGAACATTGTCTAGACGTGGATTTTACATAAATTAAGGTGTTTAACTTGCTAATTGACTTCCTCGGTGGCGTTTTCCGTCGACAATTTAGTGGTAAATAAAGAATCAGCTGTTTGCAGAGAAATCGGTCAGAGAGTAAGAGAGCAACAGTTGTTATGGATACCCTACAGTTGGGCATGTACGACTTTGACAGAGATCTAAGAATAGATATTTAAGAATATATGTTTATTAGCAAAGCCAACTATTTACCTTGAATCCCACAGATTCTCAAAGTATTCAACTATGAAACAAATATGTAATTTCTTTTTGACAAAATAAATTATTTTTATTAAACTCAACGAAATTAAAAGAATAAGAACATTGTTAAAATAGCTTTTATGATAAGTTCATACATGTAGATTTACTCTTTTATTTAATTTTAATGTTAGATAAGAATAAATATTTATTTAAAATCTATTGTGTTAACACCATTGAACTAGCAGCTTAATTAATCATCAGTCAGGTCAACGGAGGGTAAGCTTTCACTCAACTCTTTAGGTTTTTGTGATGTTTCAGGTTTGTTAATCTCATGTGATTGACATTCGACTATTTCTATATCACTATTATTATTTGAATCACTGGTGCTGTCCAACTCTATGCAGCTACTAGATTGAGACTCGGAATCCGAACTTTCCGAATCTTCATTTCCTTCGGAATTTGAGCTAACATCGATGGTTAGCAAATTTGTTGGTTCTTCGTTGGACGAAATAGATAAGCATTCGAGACTCATATTTTTAGATTCATCATCATCCGACATCAACTCTTTTACTATATCGCTTAGCGGAGAAGAAGCTCTTTCCTCGTCATTTCTTTGGATTTTCGTATTAAGAGCTTGGCTATAGGCCATGGCCACAACCAAAGCCATTTGTTTCGAGTGATCGAGGAACACTTCTGATGGTGGGGGAACCGGTTGCATGTCATTGAACGAAGGATTCGTCTCATAGCTACTGTGGCTTCTGCTTCTTAGGCTACTCCTTGGTCTCCTCCGATTTTTTTTGTGTTTTTTGGACGACTTTTTGTGTTTTTTCCTTCGGCTGGAGCGACTGCGATATGAACTTCTACTGGTACTTCTGCTCCGGCTTCTGACGCTTCTTTTTCGTTCTTTGCGACGCGACCTTTTAGACTTTTTCTTACTGCGTCTTCGATGTGGACTTCTACTCCTGCTCCGAGTCCTGCTCCTTCTTTTTTCAACACTCCTGTTCCTGCTTCTGCTTCTACTTCTGCTCAGCCTTCGACTGGTACTTCTGCTTGTACTTCGGTTTCTATGATAGAGCTGGTTGACTTTCCGTTGCTCATCCAAATCCTTTAACTTCCGTTGGCAATTAGCTGCCGTGCGCTCTTTTTCTCGTTTATTATGGCTAAGCGCATTGTTTATTGTACGTCCCAAAAATCGTTTGTTCGTTTTTCCCAGGGGGTTCACCTTGCGTTCGCACTGAGTTTTGTTAGCATGGCTTGGATTTTGTGCATCAAGCTCGCGCATAAGCTCAGCAATGGCGCGACTAAAGAATAAATAAAGTTTAATTTAATTATTATTATATTAAATTGAAAATATTTACTCTGTCAGCTCAGAATCGCTCATGTTTTGTTTACTTCTTGCAAAACAGTGCTGCCAGATGAAACAAAATCTGGAAATACCAGGCACGATTTGTTATCGATGTTTTCCCACCTCTAGCTGGATTGATAGAAAAATACCAAATAACAGTATTCAATGGAAAAAATCGATTATTCAAAATGAGGCGGACTCAAGCTTCTTCTTGGTAACTTTTATTAGTAAAATTATAAAACAATTACGCTTATCTTATATCACAGTACAATCACATTTGATAGAACGTATACGGCTAGCTACTTTCTTCCAGCTATCACATTCTGCATCCAGGGAATATATTTGCTGACGCGCGTATAAATGCCAGGCAAGCCAGGACGCGCACATCCGATGCCCGTGGAAACGACGCCAACCAAATGATGTTCCTTGGACATCAACGGGCCACCAGAATCGGCCTGTAAAGGTATGGAACACCCAAACATAAAATTTGTGCCATATCAGCCAGTGGCATACTCACCCAACACGAATCGATTTGACCGTTCTCATACCCAGCACACAATTGGGTATCTCCGATGGTGTTGCTCTTTCCCTGTGATCTGTACGACCTCTCGCAGTCTTCGTTGCTCCAAATCCTTACAGAAGCTTTGCGCAGCACATCGGATCGATCACCTTCGGCCTGGTTCTCATGGGTCCAACCCCATCCGGATACTGTGCCGTATTCCTGCTCCAAACTTCGCTGCCCTTTGTCGGAGCCCACGCAGCTTGGTTGGATGTGGGAGCTGAATTTTATAGGCTGCACCAGCTCCAGAAGGGCTACATAAGATTATAATATTATTTTGGGGCTACCTTTTAGCCTCAGGCATATTTTGGGTTTAACTTTAAAGGTCACTTGTTATTTTGCAATTTTCGATAAATTTCGGAGTTTTTTTTTAAATTTTAGAAATAATAATATTGTTATACCATTTAAAAAGAAAACGAGTTCCAGGCAAAGCTTAATCACACCTGGATTATAGCTAATCTTTAACAGAAAATCCAAAATATGCCTAATAAATATTCCACATACCTATATCATGTTTCACATCATTGCAGTCATACTTTGGATGCGGCACTATGTTCTTAAAATCCACCCTTAATGCATCCGGACCGTTGCCAATACCATTCAGATACTCCCGGATACTGTGGAGCCCTACAACACCCTGGATTTGTGCCGGTTTCATGAACTGCTGCAAGCCATTGCAGATGCAGTGACCTGCCGTGAGGATCCAACGTTCCGAGATGATGGTGCCGCCGCAGAAGTGGCCACCACGACGCATAAGACTGACCATAAAGGGCATTTCGTTGCGTTCCGCCTCACTACCGCCCACAATTTTTGGATTTCGCGCCGTGCAGAGCTGATTGGTGACTACAATGGTAACGAGTATTCTAATTATTGTAGTAAGTACTATTTTATTTTAAAAATTTGTATGGTATGATTATAATATTTTAAAAGCCACAATTGTTAGAACACTTCAGTGAGATACAAATGATTTCTTAGTTTCTTCTGGCAACTCACAGGAAACTTGAGCCTGTCCACATTTCAACAATGACAATAGAACGGCAAGGAAGATAAGCTTCAACATATTTTTATTTTAAACACAAAAAGGGGTTCTTTGCGGCGAAAAACCCGTTAGACACGGTTGAAGCTTAAACGAAACTTTTCAACGAACTGTCACAAAAATTCTGTGCGCCAATTAATTTATATATAGGTTGGAGTCTAAGCGTCGTCTCTGTTCCACTGACTTATTTCATTTTTGTCAGCCGTTCTATGCGGATTAGCCGGAAAGCTCGCTCCCTCGTCTGCTCTATCTCGCTTGCTCTGATAACAAACGGAAGTCGGCTGAATATTAGCACCTGTTGCCTGAGACTCGGAGCTTTTTTTCCTCCAACATTGCACTGCCTCATCGGCACCTTCTTCCCTCGTTTGTGTGTGGGTGTCATGTGCACACGTTTCGGCATTTCAATTGACTCGTCTGTAGAATTAAGGAGCTGCCGAAAAAAAAGAGAGAAAAACGTAAACAAAAGCCGAAAACAAAGTTGTGGGTATGTTTTGCGTTTTATGACCCAACGAAGTTCACGGCATTGAAAGGTGTACGACAAAAGGTGTGACAATATTGGAGCACCTACATATCTACTGTATATGTGTGTATGGTAGTTGCATCAAAGTTTAATGCCCCATTATCCTTATTTAATATGTATACCTTTGCAATTAACAACACGTACTTAAGGTGTTATTGAGATTGTTGTCTGATGAATGAATTTATTTGGAAATTTTGTATCAGGCGGTGTATTTTAAAAGGGATGTTACATAATAAGGGTATTACATTATTTATTTAAGGTTTTATTTATACTTATTGTTGAAATTTAAACGCATTTAGTTAGTTTATTATACTTATAAATAAAAGAATGCCTAAGTATAAAGTTTTATAAGTTAACTGATAATTTTAACTACTATTGTTTTGAGCTTTTTTTTTTTTTTGTACAAGTTTTTAGAATATTTAAAGTTATATGTATTTCCTAAACTATAGCTACCCTGAAACTTTGTATGGTGTATACGTAATACGCTATTGTCATTGCCTGATTTAGGAATAATTAAGTTCCCACATTGTAAATAGCCTTAGACGTCATATTTCCATCAAGGATTGGAACCATACTCGCTCCAATCATCGCGCATTTTATGCAAATCAGTAAAGTGTCTGCCTACCTTATGAATTGTGAGGGGAGCCAATAATAATTGAAATTCAATGTCGGTACAATCAATGTAACGTTAGCCCCTGTGACATTAACATTGCCCTTAAAACTAATGCAAACGTGTCTTGCACATTTAATGCAACTGGGTGAGTCGGGTGAGGTCGTTTCATTTCAATTATCCATAGATTTATGCAGGTGGAAGTGCAACAGCAATCGGTATAAAACAATTATGGAGTGACAAAAAAATAAGGAATTGAAACGGAAAGTTGCCCAAACCACAATCAAGATTCGCGGCAGACAATTCAGTTCAGTAGATCACAAGCTAATAAGCTTGAATACTAATAGATTTCTTGACTTTGGTTCCTTAACAACAAAAAACCAGAAATTTTAGATTTATTTACCCACGTTTCCCATCTCCATCCGAGTTCATCGATCGCGGCTTCAGTTTCGCGTTAAATGCTAATTCAAAATACAAATTGGCTATAAAGACCTATCGTACTGGCCATTGTCTGTCGCTGACAGGCGATACCAAATATAAATAATAATAACAAACAAACCCGGGTGCGGGGCACTAAACGAAACTAGTTTCAAGTGCATTGACACTTTTTGGCCGCTTCGGGCGAAACTTGGACGCATTCAATGTGAAGGTCGCCTGTCTATTCGTACTGTTTGTCTATTATTGTTGTCTTTGCTACACTTTTGTTTTCATTTGCGGCAGTTCAACGACGCTTTTGCCATTTTTGGTGACTAATTGCAATAGGGAAGTCTTTAATAGAAGCCCATGCGGGCGGTTTACGGGCTGGGCCATAGGAAATGTTTTTGGGAGCACAATGAACTCGAATTGCAGGTTTTTGAGTAATACTATAATTTTAGGATCGAGTATAATAATCCTCTAAAAATAAGTGGCCTTTAATTTTAACAAATATTGCTGTTAAAGCTTACAAAATAGCTTAAGAGTGTGACTAGATTATAGGATTTTCAACTTTAATATTACTTTAAAGCTATATAATCGAATTGAAAACAAGGAAAATAATATAAATGTCCAAAATACTGATAAATACATTATAAAATCTTATTAAAAAGTACCTAAAATTATTTACTCACCTTTTTCAACGATTTTTCACACTTAAAATGTTGTAAGGATCACTTATTTGGTTTCAATTATTGCTCGAAAGCCAGCTTTAAATATATAAGGGCTTTCTGAGCAACAATCAAAATTATATAAGTGTCCGTTTAGGATCTCTTATATAAAAAAGCCAAACAATTTCAGCCAAAGATTATTACAATTTTAAGTTTTCACAAAGGCACAAGTTAAGATTTCTTTTTGGGCTATTTTAGGATTTATTTAGCCAGGCCAACACGTCTGCTCGGTGTGAGAGCCGCACCGGAACTGCACTACTGTTGTCCATTCGGTGACGTTGTCTCCTTTTGATCCTGGCCGCAGGATGCCACGGAATCCGAACTCAAGTTCCGGACCTGCAACGACGGTCGGTCGCTAGCCGAACGAAAGCCGGCAAGGAAGCACCATCCCTCGTTGTCGGTGGCTTTTATCCTTTGGGCCTATGCGGCGTATGCTTGTTATGCAAACGACTGCCACTCGGCTAGCGTTCGGCCTTCTTTTCAGGAAGCGACCAATGAGGGACCTTCAGCTTGTTTTTGTTGCCTTGGCACAGGATTCTGACAAACGGCGCAGGCGTAAATTATGTCACTTTTTGAATTTTCATTTATAGTTTATGAGTTTAAGGTTTTGTTTTTAGTTGAAATGCCCTTTTTTTAAAGATTATGGTTTGTTTATGTTTGAATTTTGTGATTTCTTATAATTGATATATATTTTTGTGTTTTTGGGTAGAGGTTTCAACGGATTTACATATATACTTTTAATGTTTCTATTGGTTAAATGATTCAAAAATTAGGTTTTAATAGTTGTTACTAAATAGAGATATACAAAACATAGCATAGTTTTAAAGAATATTTGTTTTGAGAATATCTATTGTAATTTAATCTGTTTTCTAATTTATATAAATTGAATTTTAAAGTTCTTTAATTGTATACATTTTAGGTTTTGATATCGGTAGACTGTTAAATAGGTAATTTAAATAGGTATTTGTATAAAACTCTTTGCAATACTGCTTCTTTAACATCAAACTCTTAGATGAAGTTCATATTATAACCATAAAAGTTGTAGCATTTTATAAAATTTATCTTTTGAAAAGAATTTTAAACATTGAATCTAAAATATATATATTTAAGCATTCCGATGACAACTCCTTGGAGAATTTCCCTCATCAGTTTCTTGAAACCCCACCGCGTTTCAATTATAGCAGCAAAGCCGCAACTAAAACACAATCAACACATTTGCAAACTAAATTTCCGAGGGCTGACACTTACATTTTATTTGGCAAATTGTGATTGACAAGCTGTTGACACGCTTTTAAGAGGCCAAGAGGGCCAATGTATCTGTAACTGTTGGCAAAGTGGCCTATTCGCGAGTGGGAAGATTTTTCCCAATTAAATATTTAAGCCGCAGCCAATACACAGATGCAACATGCAACACAACATGGCAAAGAAATGGCAAGTGCAACAGAAATGCATCAAATATTCCATCTAAATTATTGATAGACTTGTTCCAGCGAACGAAGGCGAGTCCTTCGCAACATTTCAATATGCTAATTACTTTTTGACTTGGCGGGGATGTAGCTTTTGAATGTGGATGCGGCAAAACAAATGCAGGTGGCAGGTGGCCATGGAAAGGGTGGCGGAGCAGGTGCTAATCATTGCAAGATGCCTGCCACGATTTCCCAGGTGATTCCCAGGCAAGTTCTGTAACAAATGCCAAAATCTATCGAAGGCGACACTTCCACCAAAGAAATAAAACCAGGAAAATGGCAATGGGAAAATGTGTCTACAATTTTCGGGGAAAACGGCAAAACGGAAAAGGAAACTTCACAGACCCCTGACATCATCGTCTCGGGGTATACGAAAACCCTTATCCATCTATTCCGCGGCATTGTTTTTGCGTGACAATTGGGCCAATTTATTATTCATTAGGTTAAAAAGTCACAGAACAACAGAACACGGACTGAAACTGAACCCAAACTGACAGCCAGCCAAGTCTCAGCCATTTGTAATGCCACATCCAGTGGAGCCTTCTATCGGATTTAATCCTGCGGAGGTTGCTGAAGGGATGAGAGGCCGGATGGATCTTCCGAAAACCAACGTGTTTCAACATTTAACCGCACTACTTTTGGGCAAATACTCTAATTGATTTTCCGGAAAAGGTATCTCTTGTTTACCTTTTTTTGTTTTCGTAACTTTTTGGCTCAAGTTTAAGTCAAAGTCCGACAGTTGCAGTTCGAGATTCGAGATTATTTGGTGGCTAATTAGATTAGAACCGGTAAACAAACGCATCCAAAGTTTAGGACTAGCCAAGACTAAACAACAGCAAAGTTGGGCTCAGTAAATTATTAATTATTGGCGGGTGGAATTATTTCTTTGCGAGTTTTGGGTTTTAAAGATTAAAGATTTTTAAAATTTAATATTGGGTTGTGTTATGGTTGTTTTGTTGTTAATTTTAGTTTTATCATTTAAATTTTAAAATATTAATAGGTTGGTTGTTATTAAAATATTTGTGTAGAATTTTTAGCCAAGTTCTTGTTTCGATATAAGTTTCTAAAAACGATGTTTTTTTTTCAAAATGTTGTGTTTGTGTGGAATCCGATTTGGGTTTTTATATAGTTTTGGTGATTCTTTTAATTTAGTAACCAAGATTTTAGTATATGTATTTATATTAATTTTTTGTAAGTGTTTGTTTTTTGAATTGTGTGTTTTTCAGATGTATATTATTTTTTGTATAATAAGTACAAATTATGCATTTCAAATAAAGGTTAGTTCTGGTTTCAGTTTTGTTTTTTTTTTATATTTTATAATATAAAAATATTATAATATAATATAATATAATATAAAAATAATATTTTTAAGTTGTGCGCTCTTTT